CGCACACTTGGTACGGTCCGAGCATTCCTGCCAAGTAGCTTTCACACATGGAGGGGAAGCTTGTCTCGAGCAATTGCTGACAAGCTACAAACAAGACAGCCACCCCTTTCTCCCGTCTCATTCTCGCAGCCTGGGCTCGGGGTGTGCGCGGTGCACATCCTCGCCCCCATGCGCCCCCCACTGTCCGCTCCTTCTCACTCATGTGCCCCCCTTCCCTCTCTCCCCTCGCCTCTGAGAATGTGGGGGCCCCTCAGCATAAATTGTCAGCTGTTCCTGGGCGTACCTCTCCATGGCTCCCTAAACACACATAAGTCCACATATGCAGTTGCTGGTGGGACAAGGGTAACCCAAGTAGGCCCTGTTGGTTACGAGCCTGAAAAAGTATACCAAAGCTTTCGAACACTGCAGCAGTGTGAAAAGCGCTGAGGGTAGAACTCTATAATAAGCTGCAACAGATATTGGAGCCTAATGGTATTGTAGGACAGCATCAATACTTTCCAATTACTCAAAACTCACGGTATTACTCTCACTTTTTAATCATTCCCCCGTCATGGCTTTTTACTCAGAATAAGTCGCACATCAAAGGGTTGGTCTCGTTCAGGTATGACCTTGTGATCTCTACATCTGTTGCGTTTAATTCCCTGGGACCCTGTTATTTCGCTGTACTTACGAGAATCGCCCATGATGTTGTCTCTGAGTGCGATCTGTCTGTGTTCATTGATGCTTATGGGGTGCTTCATAGGTTTGATGTGGCTGGGCCTGGAACCATTTTGCATTCATTGTTATAGAATAGCGTGGTTGTTCTTCGGTGTCGGCTGCCATCTCGTGTCAGATTTACGCACAACTCCTCGCCGCCTGCATTTATTTCACTCCCTTTCTCAATTTTTTTCAGACGGTCATAAAGATCTTTGGTAAAATATATTTGAAAATATAGTCTATAGTTTCAAATTGGTGCATAATAATAATAATCAAAGTTTGCATAAAGTCTATGTATACTGCTGTTTATCTGACCATTTAGACAATGGGCTCTAGAAGGAATTTCACCCGGAAATTATTTATCTGTGAGAATTAGTCAAATGAAAAATTTTACATCCTGCTCGAATGTCTTCTTACATGTCTTCGTGCTGGGACAACAAATACAAAGACAATTAATGAATGGTATAAGGTTATGCATAGGTTTGAGGTTTCAAATAGAAATATATACAGTACATGACCCAAGACTTAATTTAATTATTTTATTTAGCTGTGGTATTCACTGTGTCGAATTACCTGAAACAAAGACACTGTAGTTTTCACAACATTTAGATATTTCACATTATTTTCTATTTTTGTATAATCATCATCATGATACCGTCATTGCATTTTAAAAGTTTGTTTCAAAATATTAGAAAACCACGTGGATCTAAGAGTTAGGGGGAACACTGACAGCTACCAACATTAAAAACTTGTCTTGTCCAGATTTCACAACACTGGTCATCATTCCACTTTCAAAGTCCACTCCTCTTCAGCCCCTCAGAGAGTTCATTCCAATCACTCCTTTTATACAATACAATACTCCTTTTATACATGTTTATAAATTGCCTATATTTGAAGCACAATTAAAACATGATTGGCATTGCAAGGATGATAATGTAATAACAACAATATTATTAAGAATCATGAGACATAAACAATGCATTCAGAGCTCATTTAGCTCTGAAACAGCACTAGTTTAATTAACATATGACAACCTACTCGCTGCTGATAATGGACTTGTGTCAGTGTTGGTTCTGCTGGACCTCAGTGCTGCATTTGACACAATAGACCACAACATTCGACTGCAGAGGCAAGAATGGGACTTCGGCCTCAGAGGAACTGCCCTTGGCTGGTTTAAATCCTATTTAAACCAGCTCGGCACCAGTTTGTTAATGTGAGCCAAAATTCCTCGCCCAAAAGTGAAATTGGGCACACCACAAGGATTGATACTTGGCCCAATTCTAATGCTACACAGATGTCAATAAAACCAAACCAGACGGATCAATTAGAAATTTTATCTTGAGATCTTGAGACATGGATGACCCTAAATTATCTGATTCTCAGCTTGGAAAAAACAGAAGTAATCTTATTTGCCCTCCCAACTTAGTGACTCACTCGATGATCAGATAATCACACTCAATATTGTTAGCGTGGCCCCTGGCAACACTGTGAGAAATCTTGGAGTGGTTATTGACCAAGGCACATATAAATCAAGAAACTAAAATCGAGAATTTCCACTTGCGCAATGTCGCTAAAATCAGAAATATTCTTCAAAAAAGTGATGCAGAACACTGATTCACACATTTTTCACCTCAAGGCTTGACGACTATAACGCCTTGCTGGCAGGGTGCCCTAAATTCTCTAGACAAAGCTTCCAACTCACCCAAAATACAGCATTAATCTTAACAGGCACCAAAAGGAGGGAGCACATAACTCCAGTGTTAAAATTACTCCACTGGCTTCTTGTGGAGTGTAAAATAAAATGTTAAGTCCTTCTTTTAACATAGAGGGCCAAAAATGATATGGTTCACTCCTCACATTAGTATCATATTAAACAAACCGAGCACTGCGCTCGCACAACGCCATAGTTCTGGTGGTTTCTAAAGTGTCAAAAAACACAGTAAGAGGGAGAGAGTTTATCTACTGAGCTGTGGAATCATCTCCCTATCCACATGACGGAAGCAGACAGTCTCTACATTCAAGGCAAGGCTTAAAACATTAATTCATTCATTCATTATTTTCCCCTTCAGCAATACATTTCTAAGCCGGGGGGATGACAATCAGAGCTGCCATCCAATGCTCATAGCACCAGTTCCTCGCTGATCCTTCTGCAGCTGCTAGGTCCATTGGAAGATGGCTGCTCCGTCAGCAATGACACAGCCTTGATCTTTCAGCGGGGGCATTGGAAAAAATGGGGCAAGTGTCTTGCCCAGGGACACAACAACAGCAGACATCAGTGGGAGCAGGTCTCGTGGGGTAGGATCAAACCCACGACCTCCAGGCCTAAAGGGTGTTGCTCTACCAACTGAGCTATCGCCTCTTAAAACAGCACATGGTTGGGAAGGTAAAAAATACAACCCTAAGTCTAAAAACACAGATTTTCAGTCAAGATGCCTAGAAGACACTTTGCTGGGAGAAATATGGTAACTATCCTCTCCTCTTCCTACTATTATATCTGCCATCATTGATTTCAGTTTTGTAGTCTGTTCATTGCTATTCACCCGCTGTCCCGTTGTCAATTTCATGGCATGATGATGGGTTCCCTGAACCCGGCCTTTTTCAGCTGCACCTGTGGGCTGCACACCTCTCCCCGCCTGGGAGCTGTTTCAGTCCTGCACTGCGTGACCTCAGTCCCTGTTTTGATCCCTCACTCAATGTGCGCCTCCTCTATGCTGTTTTTTGTTCTTTGCGGATGTCTAAGGACATTCAACTTCTATTAACATTTATCATCTGGCCCTGATGGACCAATGGCTCTATGTGTTTTTTTATCATTTAATTTCCTGTGTTTGAATTGTTTGATTCTCTGATCTGTAAAGTTATTTGATTGCATACAGCATAAACCGGCATCACTATGCAACTCATTTCTAAATTAATAAATGATAATCTGTTTTGAAATTAACAAATGTCTCCAATGAAATCCAATGTAAATGCAATTAATTTAAATCAAAAACCATAAAGTCACAAAGCCACAAAGTTAACAAAGGAGACTTACACAACACTGGATAATTGAATGTATGAGTTTGGGTGGCTAGCATTGTCAATCCCTGTACCCTTTCCTTTTGAAATAAGTTATACCAGTCTGATTTTAAACTATATTTTAGATTAGATTTGAGTTCATACATTTAATATATTTTTTTACTTTAGCATTGTTTTTAAATGTCATCATTTCATAAAAGGAAATAAAACACAAAACAAAAATTTCACATTTGTATGTGTTGTTTATATAAATATAAACATCCACACTAACATATTATATTTATAACCAATTCATAATCTATACAAGACTTGTATTCAATATGATTATTTCAATACATAAAAAGAAGCAGGTAAAAGGTAAAGTTTTATTATATTTTAACAGATAGCAGGAGAAAGATACTTTTTCAAAAATCATTTTTGTCAAAAAACATTTCTTTATGTGCACACATTGCATTATTCAGTAGAAGGGGAATAGGAGGCAAAAATGCCCCGACTTTAATTAAAGTGAATAGGGAGATCATTATGCGTCAGTAGGGACACTAGGTTAATATGCAGTTCAGAATTTTCACATTTAAAAATGAGACACCTTTCCCTTTTAAAAAAATGGCAGTCTTGGAAAAGACGATGGACTAAAATGGTCTACAACTTACACATGCAGTGTTACCATGCCAGTTCAACTCCACAAATCCACCGAAACTCAGTCTTTTGGCTATAGCAGTTCAAAATGGAGGAAAAGTTTGGAATAATTTAAATGCAGCACACCAAAAGGACAGTGACCTAAACACGCAAAGGACCATCTCAATTAACTTTTCCTGATTTCAAGTATACCCACTCATCATTGCATCACTTCAAGTATACACCCCCTGAAACACAGCCTTCAGTTCTTTAACATCTTAGGTTTACAACATAAGCTATGACTTAAGTGCACTCAAAAGGTCATCTACACATACAAAAATAATGATAAGTCGCTGTAATAGTTATAACAATCACTTTACATTAAATTCTATACATATAACCATGAGGTTGTATCACCGTGGCATCTCATCCCAACCCCCCTGAGTGTAATGTTCAAGTTTAGCCTTCTGAAGCTACGGAATCGCAAACTACAGGAACCTTTGTTTGGTTATTTAAATAACATTAGGGATCATTGACTGCAGCAATGATTAGAATGCAAGATAGATTATGCCTTTCCTTAGACCATTGTGCTTCAGTGACAGATGCATTATGTACATGCAGCAGGTCCATCTAGTGCCGTCCCCTTCACACTGTAGTCCAGTGTCACGCACACTTCAAACTGAAATACACAAAAGTGACGTTCAAAAGAACTGTGAAGATTTTTAACAACTAGATCAGAATAAGTCCCTTACTTTCAGCAGTGCTGATATGATTCATCAAACACAGGAACCAGCGGCGATGCAGCTCCGACACTTGTACAACTTGGGGTCATGAGTGCGGATGTGGTTGCGGACATTCCTCAGTCTAAAGAAGGTCTTACTGCAGAGCTGCAGGACACACAGAAACAGGGCTTAGGTGCTGGTTCTTAGTCTGACAATACACATGATGCCTACAGTTCTTACCAGGCATGGCCAATGCTTTCCCTCCACGTGTCTGAGACGATGTGTCATGAGCGAGTCACAGTCCATGTAGGAAGCAGGACACTGTGGACAGACATGGGCTGACTTTGGGGCTTTGGGGGCCTGACTCCGGGGCCCCCGAAGCTGCTTTAGCCTGGCTCTGTGCACCAGGTCCAATATGACTCCGTTCCTGCTGCTCAAAGCCACATTGCCCTTCTATCACAGACAAATAAAAATATGAATTATTTGTTTGAACTTCAACAAATATACAATCGCAAAATGACAAAACCTACCTTTGGCTTGTTGAGGGTGACCTTTGGTGCTGCAGATTTGGGCAGCTTGAGCACTTTCTTTGCATTAGTCTTGTTTTGCTGGGTCATTCTTTTCTCCACCCTCTCCTTCTTGATTGGAGACACCAGTGGTGGTGGTCTGGCTCTCAGTGCTCTGTGATGGGACTCCTCCCCTCGAAATCGGGCCACTGATCGCGTAAGACAGATGTCCACGCTCTCTTCTTCCTTCTTCAGTCCCATGGATCCTCCTGGAGACCGACAAAAGCTGAACAGAAATCCAGAATCGAGAAGTTTAATGGGAGGCTTGCTTTGGCGTTTGCCTAGATCTGGGGATGGAGGATCACAGAACTGGCCCACTGGGATGGGGTCTGCTGGCTCTTCCTTGATGACTTTATAAAGCGCATTACTGTAGATGGAATTGGGTGCATTATCAGAGATTTGTTTATCAGCCGCATTATTCTTGACTTCGTCTTCAGATTTGCGACCAATCTTTGGCCCTCTAGTGAACTCTTGTCTAAGCTTTGCCTTCTGTGTGGGGCGACTGCTGTTGTACCGGGGCATTCTGATTGCACCAGTCTCTTTACATTTGGCGATTGAGTAGTCTGCTGGCTCAGGTTTTATCTTGATTGAATGTTTGGTCATTTTGGGGACATTATGTCGCACTGGCCTCTTAGAGCGGAGATGTGTGCACTCATCTTTCCGGACAAGCTCTCTCAGCTCTCGAAATCTACAAGAAAGCCTTGGAGGAAGCTGGAAGAGGTCAGGTACTACTCCTTTACTTCTCATGCTCCGGTCAGTTGTAGGAACATGTCGTGGTGAGCCTTTTGTTTTCCTAATATTTATATTGTGTGCCAGGATTTGACTCACTGACCTGCTCTTCCCAGTTTTACTGAGGAGGTGAACGTTTACCGGGGTACAAAGAGGAAGTGCCAGTGTCACGCCCTTATAAGGTAGCACTGGTGTTGAGGCGCTGGGTTTTCTCCTTTTGGTAAGGGAATAATTGTTGGCTTTTAGTTTTCTTAGCCTTTTCTTTTGTCTCCAGCCGACCAGATCTTCTGGTCTGGGCAGGAGTGCAGTCCTCTGCAGCCCAAGAACATGCATCAACTGATACTTCTCTTGTGCTCGTTCATAATCCTCTTCATCCTCTTCCACATCAGGGGCCTCCTGCTTCACTCTCACTGGGCTGCACACAGTACTGGGCTTATTTCTAGAAGATCTTGAGAGCTGAGAAGTTGAGTGAGTTCTCTTATACTGAGGACTGCTCTCAGACATCGGCAGCAATCGTTGGATCTCTTTTGCAGCTCCCGGAGTGGAGCGGAGTAAACGGCTGTGTGCAGAAGAGGCTGGAGAGTAAGTTGGTTTCTTTGATGAAGGGGACTTAAAGTCCATAAGTTTCATTCTTGGAGATGCACTCAGAGGGAGGCCATTATGAACTTGGCGTTTTGGGGTTTGACGTAAAATGCGCCGGGGGCTTAACTCTGTAGAATCATTTGATGCATCCAGCGTTAGAGAAAAACTGTCAGGGAAGCCAAAGCCTGTTTTTCTCCTGCCTTCTCGAAGCAAGTAGTCTTGTGCTTGACAGGGGTTGCCAAAGCTGGAGGTCAGGTTTCTACATGGACGGATGGGTGTGTGATGAGTAAAAGTCGGGCGTTCCTGCTCCTTCATGAGAGCACAGCAGGCCTCCACTGCGGGCCACATGCCCAAGTGACGAGCCAACGTAACCACTTCAGGGAGGTCCTCCTGTCGCACAGACAGAGTGGAGGAATAGGAGAACTCCAGCAGTGATACAAGGCTGTCTTCATTGAAACCTGAAAAAAGGAATATCTTTCATTAGACAAGCATATTACAGACACCAATGAGCCAGCAGTGGGAGTGGAAGTAATACAAACACTTTGACTAATAGTGGTACCAATAACACCAATGTGAACAAATTCAATAGTAACAGTGACTGATTTACGTTTTAATATCTCTGTTCTCTTGCTATATTTTCATACAAGACAAGCAACACTTTCTATAATGACAAAACCAAATGTGTCATTATACAAAGATTAGCTTGAGAGAAGAATTTAGATTACTTTACTTTAGTTTCACTATATATCTGTGTAATCTCACGTCCATTTTGCATTAACAATGAGATGAATGGGAGTAATGAAAGTGCTGATGTGTTACCGGTCAAATCTATGTCAGCTTTGATGCTGGAGTCCATCTCAGTAAATATTTCCTGAAAGTGGTCGCTGACAGCAGCTAGAACCGCTCTGTGTGCAGAGTATGAGCGACCACTCGTCCGCAGGGTGATGTCACAGAAGAGTCCAGCATCCCTCTGACTCTTCAACCTGGTCAGCAACTCATTGCTGTATGATGCTACTGTCTTGGTGACACAAGCCCTGCTCCCCAATCCCTGATGGGTAATGACAAGAAATAGTTAGCTGCACATCCAAGAGAGTCTTCTAGTGAGAGCATATTGTGTGTGCTTATGTTGTGTGGGGGGGTACAAGAAATGAGCTTACCACCGGTTTCTTGTTGCACAGGCTCTTGCACTCTGGACAGTTTAGGACAAAGTCTTTGATATGGAAGTACATTCCTGTAAAGTATGGCAACGTTTAAAAACATGCACATCATTCATAATTTCTTTTTTTGTTTGTATTGTAAAGGCACTTACCATCCCACCAGTAGTTATCAGCTACACTTTTGTAGGTCTCCTCTAAAGAGAGATGCCGCTGGCCTGGACGCCGCCGGTGAAAAGTACCAATGGCCTCTTGTCTCCGGTCTTCATCCAATACCTCCCGGTAATTAAAAAATCCCCTTTCGAGCTTTTTACGGTACAAGAGTCCACCAATGACCTCAAAGTTCGGTGACAGTCGCCGCAGGTGCCCACGCCCTTCAGAGTCCATGTCTCTATCCTGCTCGGACCAGGCTTTGGATGGAGGAAACCTCTCAGTGTGCGCGTAGTGAGCTCTGCTGTGGGTGCAGTCGCCTGCCATTTGTACAGGACGTGATTTGGACGAAAATAAGCTCAGATAACCTTTTCAAAAATGCCTGTCTCTCTTGAGGTGTTGTACCCAAGTACTCAGGACCATCTCAGTGTAGGGAGCTCAAGAGCCAAACTTTGTGCACCGTCATGAAACAAAGTACACGTGTAGTCAATGACAGGACGCAACAGATAAGTCTAACAATTATTTGCATCTTTTAGAAGTCCATGTAAAAACTGTTAAAAAAGGCAATAGAGTTTGAGGGTTGCCACATTGTCGCTAATTGTTGAGTGTGGACGCTTGCCGTTGTAAACAATCAAGTTGCTACATCCCCTCATGTAGGCCTAGATTAGGACACTGTCAAAGCATCATTTCGAAACCTCTGAACTCCAGCGTCGATACTGATACACACCATGTTTTCAGAACATCTCTTGCAACATTGTATGTAGATGTTCCATTTAGAGTGCTTTAAACGTGTCCAGTAGAGTGTAGATAATAAATTCACCCAGAGAAATATCGCGCCAACAGCGAAGGGACAAGAAAGTGATGGTTTCGCTGCGTAGACGGCTTCACCGATCGCCTATCAAAGGCTGTCCGCTTTCCAGCTATTTCAGGACGCGGGAGTGGTCTCCAATGCTGACTGGCGGAGGTCAGATTTACCCCTGGCTTTAACTTGAGATTTCTTTTCCCCAACTCGAGTCGGAAGCAACATGATGACGCAGCTCTCGGCTCAGCATCGCCGCTTGAATCGACCTAAAAGCGGCGAGGTTGCCTTCGCGATATCCTCATGCTTCATTTAAGCCCGAGGCCAGCTCCACCGCGGCCAGAGGACAAACGGCACACACTCGGCGTGGATTGTAGCACGCACGACCATAAAACTCCAGACTGTACGAAAAATAATCCAAAATGTTAAACTCGTAACCTTCTGTTTGTTGCTAATCACCAGCCTAACCAGCCCTTCGTATCCCCGCCCTCGAACAAAGCTCATTAGCACAAACGTCAAAGAACCTACACTTTCTGCACTATGATTGGCTGACAGAGCTGTCACTCACTTAAGTTTGTGCCTACTTTAATCATGGTAGGTTGCCTACGCTGCACTAGCGTCGAAGTTGACGTAATAGAAAAAACATTGTGCAACGCAATCTATTGATTATAATGGACTAGTTAAATCTTTTTCATTAGTGCAGTCCTGTTAAGCTAAGCGTAACAGAACTTAATAGAATTGTCATTATTAATGTGTTGCAATCACACCTGTGTATCAATGGTGCCATTCACGTAAATAAAAATAAGCAATTTAAATGGATGTATATACGATTTATAAATATGAATGTCTGCATCAAATCTTTGTACACTGGGGAATGTAAACTGGGGAATGTACCAGTAGTTTTTTAAAACAAAGTGGAGTACTCAGGTTTAGAATCCTTTATTATTCAATACCACATTGCTACATGTTCATTAAATTCTTGATTATTCTAAAATTGTAATTGTAAAGTCAAACCTAAATGATAAATAAAATGAACTCAATTGTTATACAGAGAGTTGACAAGTCATTCACAATAAAAGGTTACAAAAAAATACTTTATTGACATTGTAACCACATACACAGATGTGACGTCTTTTCCCATCGACACTGAAAACGCACCGCTTCTTTTCAATCTTTTTTTCTACATGCTAGTCCTTTCCCCTATGGAGTCATCATCAGTCTTTGGTCTTTTGGACTCTGGGGGCTGGCACACAGGATCTGATGGTGGAGATGGACGTTCTGGAAAAATATAAAATGTGACTTGATCTGCCTTATTTAGACTACATACATTTGCCATCTTTGCCTTTTGGCTGCGTTCTCTTTTGCTCTGCTGTACAAAAGCAGCAAACAGACTTGAAGCTCAAAGTTACAGCAGGCCTACTTGTCTAGTTTGTGATTGTTTCCAACCCAGACACTTCACCCATGTCTATTATGTGAATGTGAGTGTGGCTGTGGTACTTCGAATGGAAATTAGCCCAAGGCTACATTCTGTATTTACAGCAGATTAGATTTTCAGCGCTGTTCATTAATACACACTGTACCAAGCAAATAGACGAAAAAAATGTAAGATTGGGGAGGGTGCCAAGGGCACAGGTTGGCAGCCTCACTTGTGTCTATCTCCTCAGGCAGCAGTATCTTACCATTACCCAGTGGCATGATGAATGGACTTCCTTGTGGATTTAGCATTGGGCCAATTACATATGTCAAGGGTGCGTTCAGTTAGCCCAAAGGTAATCAAAGTTCACTTTAAGTCGACCAATTCTGGTAAATATGCTTCATTTATAGAGATGTACCAAAATAAAGAGTGCCCTGATCAATTAGTCAATTCAGTTATTTTGAAACAGTTCAATGTGTTGATGAGGTCTGTTACATTTGCTTCTGAAGTGTGAGCTCCATCATATTTACAAACTGACCATGTTTTGCCTTCTCCGCGGTTGAGGTTGTGGTAAAGAGAGAGCTGGCTGCAGGTGAACGAGCAACAGGGGTCAGAGACACCCGCCTATAACACAAAACAAATTACATGAAATTCCTACTTTCAGTGCGTTGAAAATTACAAACAAAAATAAATTTCCAATGTTGTCTTGTTACAACCATGAGCAATTTGGGTGAAAACCTAACAGAAAATGTTGACAACCTGAGTGTAATCCAATGTCAATACATTTACGCATTCCCTGTGATGACCTCTGAGAATTGTTCAGTAAAAGAGCATCATGAAGCCCAAGGAACCAACCAGAAAGGTCAGGGATGAAGTATTGGAGAATTTAAAGCATGATTAGGTTAAACAAATCTTTTCCAAGCATTGAACATAGCATGACAGTATGGCAGGATACACACAAAGACACCGTCACTCACCTAAATCAAGAGGCACCGAATAAAGATTCAGAGACGAGGCCAATGGTTGCTGGTGCGGTTTATATACAGGTGTGTTCAAAAGCTCAAGAATAACAGCAGTAATACACTAAACATATTTGGGTGAGTTGAACTGGTTGAAGACACAAGAAAGGACCCTGGAAATGGATACTGTAGTCAGTTGACCTAAATATTACTTTTGGCCTCATAGTAAAAACACAAAAGGTATGTTTGTAATTCCAGGTGCTGAACTGCAGGTGCAAATTTAGCGCTTTAGTTCTATAAGACATAATGCAATTAGGGATGTAAAAAACTATGAATTTTCATGACCGACCACCGAGCCTCATTAACCGGTTGAAACCGGTTAACTGCGTAGTTTAAAATAGTCCACGTTCTTTGAAATAACAGCCATTTCGAGCCGCGTACTTTTCATAAGTGCAGCTCTGCGTTCTACGGGATCAGAGCCGAGACAGCGGCACCAAAACCCGCAACAGCTTCGGCACCTTTGCGCACAGAGAACTGCTGTTTTAATCTTCCCATTCTTCTGTGCTGCGGCTTAAAGCATTTTTAAGCAAAAGACAGCTCGTCCACATGGTCAGGGCAGCGAGTGACGAGCCGCGTCTCGCAGGTCTCCGCTAAAGTTTAAAAGTGATCAGTGTGGAGCTGATGCCAAGGACCAGCAGCACAAACATGGTCCATGTGGTTTGACTGGAGCCGTGTATTTGCAAGAATGCTTTGGGCTCCGTGACACAGAGGAGCGCGACAGACCGGTATGTGTGTGTGTACAATACATGTATGTATGTGTGTATATATATGTGTGTAATACATGTATGTATGTGTAAATATAAGCTCCAATGTAGTTCTGACCCGCACCAGTGTGCAACTAGCAGGCGGTAACAGAGGGGAGAGATGATGCGTGTGGATGTTACGTGTCAATGGAGGGGGGGGGGAAGTGTGTGTGTGTGTCAATGGGGGGGGGGGGGGGGGGGGGGGGGGGTGCGTGTGTGTGTGGTGAGAGTCGGCCCAGAGTTTACTGTTACATCGTGCAAATAGGGCTTAAAATAGCGTTATGAAGAGACCTCCCCTCTCCCCCTTTTCTCTTTTTTAACCAACAGCTTTGACCGGTTAACCCTGTGACGGTCAACCACCGGTTAAACGGTCACAGATTTACATCCCTAAATGCAATGCTTTAAAATACACTTTCAAGTTAGACAAAGAGTTGAGAATCTGTGGAAAGTTGTTAGAGAATCACAGTTTGAATCTGTACATCTCGAACAACAGTCTATCAAAACTTTGAGAGACATATCCCAAAATACTTGAAGTTGTTAAAAAAAAAAAGGTGGTTCCACAACGTATTAACAAATGCGGGCAGAATAATTGTGTGGCTTCAATATTGTAAGCCACACTTTTCAGTCTTCAAAAAAAATTCAATCATGTATCCTTTTGCCTTCTCAAGTTCACAATTGGTCTTCCAAATGTCAAAAAATTGTAATGTATAATTGCCAAATTATTTTCTGCCCATATATGGAATTGTATATGCACCATAAACTAAATTTTACACAACAATAGAACGTTTTAATAATTTAAAAATAGTTGATTAATATTGTAAAATGATTGACTCATTTAAAATGTGGCTGGGAAAATGGGAAATTATAAAGTTAAATGTTTGCACCCAATGAAAAACACTGTAAATGAGTCATGACACTGAAATGAACTGACCTGGGGGTTGGCCCCTTTGGAGTGGCTCTGCCTTTTGGAGTAGTGCACCCAGAGCTCCGGGCACTTTTGTCAACTTTAGGAGTGGATGGGGTGAGAGGGGTCCCTTTGGGCTGAGGAGTTGATGGAGCACTCGTACCGCCTGACACTGGACTCTGAGGTGCTCCTTTAGGGGGTGTAGGCTTTCCCCAGCCCTCAAGAGTGTTGAGGGTGATCCTGCGTGGCTGAGCTTTGGATTTGGCACTGGAGGTCTTTTGTTGCTCTGGTGTAGCAATGGTAGATGTCAGGGTCATAGAAGCATCTTTAGGGGCTGGTGTTGTTGGTTGAGAAACAGGAGATAGTGATTTGTTTCCGAGACTCTTCTTCCCTTTCTTCTCTGTTCCACTAACAGGAGTAAAAAGCTCGAGAGGAGGAGGCTCCTTCAGAGGTGTTCCCAGCTCGCCCGCGGAGAAGGACAGAAAAGAACAGTAACCATCTGTAGAAGACACAGCCAGGAAGGACCCATCCCGTGACCTGAAAAAAAAATTACAATTCTGTCAAATTGTTGTCAGACACTGAGAAAATGTTATATATATATATATACATATATATGACAGATAAAGTTGCCCTCACCATGTTAAATCACTGAGAGTATGATAGTGGATGTTCGAAACTAAACCAAAAGGAAGAGTTTGTTGTGTGTCATAAAGTAGAATTGAGTCCTCAGATGCAACAGCAAAAATCATGCGGTAAGGCAACTCGAACACATTTGGGAGAGTCTCCACAGATCCATCTATAAGAGTTTAAATTGTATAAATTAAACATCAAACAGAAAATGTAACTAATCAATACATACTGAGCTAGAAATACTTGCCATCAGCTTTCTTAGTCCTTAACTCAAAGTAGACAGGGCAGCAGCGCACAGCCAGTGTAGCCTTTGATGGACATGGCAAGTGAGCCACAGGCCTGTAGGTCAGATGTACATCTGTTAGAAATGAGCCGTGGCAATACTTGTTTGTCAATGCCTGATCATGTCAGATCAAAGGGACTAAGCGATGATGGTCGGAGGATGCGGTGGTGTCCCCAGTACAATTTGGCAGACCTCTGGATACAGTAGTCGCTTACCACCAGTGTGCAGTGATATTCAAAGGCCATCAGGCTAGAAAATTAATTGAGGATTCCCAGATTAATATTCACTAGTGATATTTAGTCTAATGATGATCAGAGTGTGAATAATTAATCCATAAATGTACATTACCCCAACAGTGGGGCTGGGAGATTTAGGATAATTGATTTATCTTGATTTGATTTAGTTATACAATTTGGAGACAGGGTAACACAAAGACAGAAGAGACAGCTTTAAATATATAAATTCTGCATATTTAAGCCATACATTGTGAGAACACTGTGTGCTGTTACAGATTCATATTTCTTCTTTAGTGTGAAGACATTACCTCTTCAGAGTCCTTCTAGAAAAAATGTAAGTTGTATTTATAATGCTTTCTCCAGATTCAATGCAGCCAGCTGAAATGAAAAATCAAATTAAATGAGGCTAATAAACAAGTTACTTGTTACTTATTGACATTATTCAGACATTATTATTTTATTTTGAACAAGTACCTGGGGCAAACAGGAAGGATCCGTCTGGTGAAAAAGAAAGGCGCCGAAAAAATGACCTCATACTGTCGTCATGGAACATTCGAAAAGGTTTTGACTGCATGATCATAAAACATGAACAACTCATTTCAACTTTTTGAAATAAAAACAAAAACGCACAATAAAAACATACAAAAAGTTTCATAGGGGGCACTTACATCACCCTCTGGCACAGGTCCAGAGCTCAGTTTACTTATGCAGAACGCCTTTTTCTTAGTGTGGGTACTATACACACGCATGAGCCTGCAGTACACAATATAGAATGATTAAACAAATTAAATGACTTGTGTGACATTAATAAACTCCTGACTGTACCTGTCACAGCTGAGCGTGGCAACATACTGTCCCAGTGGATCCCAAGCCACTCCTTGGACATAACTCTTATGGTCATTAAATATGTAAAGCTTTTGACCTATAAAAACATGAATTAAACATGAAAGGGAAATAAAATTATAATGGAAGACAGCATTTATCAAAAATTCTCTTTAACCCAATTTTAGTACTGATAAACTTGAAATTGCAAACGTTAATATGGCTAAGTGTTTGGGTACAAACCTTTGTTAACATCCCACATGATAGCAGTGTTGTCTACTGATCCCGAAATCATCATGTTTCCATCTCTTGCCCAACTAATGTCGTATACATCTTCTATATGTCCTCTATTCACAGATAAAATACATTTGTCATTGTCTGGGGGATGATTGTAACAGCCAGGATTCCCATTTGTTGTACCTGAGAGTTTTCACCACAGTCCAGCTCTCTTTGTTAAGTTGAGCCTCTTCATCATCTTGAAACGCAGGAGTAGGCTCTGGCTCCTTGCTGTCATTCAATTTCCACAGAAGAATGGCAGCATCTGGAAGGGAAATTAATATAAATTATACAGTTTACAGGATAAGGATTATGTTGAGGCTCACCATCTCCTCCTGAAGCAAGGAACTCCCCGGTGGGACTGAACCGCACCACATTCACAGCTTTTGTGTGCCGGGACAGATTTGACAGGAAATCCACCACAGCCTTTCCATCGGGACCCAGGTCTACTCTCCACAACTGCAACAGTAGCAGAAAAGTATGAAGCGTGTGTCATTCTCTAACAGACCACTGCATTATATGGCATAAATGCACCTACTCTCACGGTGGTGTCCACCCCAGCCGTAGCCAGTCTGTGTGTGCGTCCATCTAAGCAATGCTGGAAGTCCAGGCTGTACACGGGCTCTTTGTTGTGCCAAGCGATCTCACAAGTTACCACCTTCATACTTTATCTTTGCATTGAAAGAGCAGGTGTATGTTAGTTTCCTATAACACAATTCTAAATACTTTGAACAGGAAACTGCACATATCAGAATTTTTTCCACACACGGTTTATGCAAGATATTATTTCTATAAGGCTGTTCCAGTATGACCGTCGAGCTTTAAGACAGTATTCCCGAAATCAAATACAGTTCATAACAACAGAGGTAAATACGTAAAAGTTTAATTCACCTCTTACCGCTTGTGTCCAGCCAAGAAAAGTAAATTCCCGCGCGCGTACTGTTCAGCTAAACATCCGGGTTGGAGGGCTGTGATTGGTCGGCTATGCGGAACTCTCTCCCAAGAGAGTCTGGCCATTTTTAAACTTTTTTATTTTTATTATACATCTTCCTACAAAACACAAAGTAAGTATAGAAAAACAAAGCCAAGTGTAAAAACAAGAGTAATGCCAGGGGTCAAGAGAGTCTGGCTGCAGACTCCACGTTACGTCGGTTACGTCATTGTGACCAGGTATTATGGCAAAAGCCCCGGCGATCCAAGATGGCGCCCTATTCAAATGAATGGCTGTGCTCGGTGGCGCTTTGTGACCCATGTGATCCATGATTATGGCCCAGTCCCAATACATAGTTCCCACATGACGTCACTACATACGGGGATTTGCCGACCCGGCGCCATTTGTGTTGGCATTCTGTGGGCAAAACAATAGAAAAAGAAGCTGAAACGTGTTAATGTCGTGATAAAGTTGAAAATGGTCGTCTCCTGCTGGGTCAATGGATGTTCAAATCGTGCCGGAGGTTCTGTTAAACTTGGATTTTACAGTATACCCATCATTAGACTTCATGAATGTGAGAAGACTAAGCTTTTGTCAGAACAACCACGGAGGTTATGGCTTGCGATGATAAACAGGCAAGAAACTCCCTCAAAACACGCAAGAATATGCTCGGAGCACTTTGTGTCAGGTGCGTATCGTATCTTATAATGTGTTGACAGACGTAATTTACTCAGTACTAACTTGTGTATGCTGATAGCTGGTAACTTGAGAGTTTCATTATTTAGCGTTAGATTACTTTATTATGAGGAGGATCGGTGTCGCGTCCGAGGCTCTCGAGGGCAACGTAAATGTATTAAATAGATAATAATAGTTCTATGGTGGGCTAAAACAATGTTCACAAACAGCATTGCTTCTGTAAAAAGATCTGTGTCATAAAATAAACTGCTCTTTACGCCTGGAAAAATCAGTTGCCCACCATTCACCAAAACATACGGTCAAAAACGCGGAAATAAACAATAACAGCAATCCAGAGTGTCCGTGTGGCATTAGCATTAATTAAATTAATTGTTAATATAATTAAAATAATTAAATGGAGCTCCAACTGGTATTAAATCAAAAGGCTTTGAGAAATGTTTGCATTGCTTGTTAATTTTTGCTGCATAATTTGATCAAATATGTAAAACATGTCCGTAGCACGTTAAACTGTGGTGCCATTGTATTAATATACAATTATTTGCTCAAAAGTTGCCCTTTTTTTTCCAATTTGCGTTTGAATATCTACATTTATTCTCATTCTTCTGTTTAATGGAATGCACAAACACAGCAGCGTGCCATCAAAGATGGCGTCTCCGAGGAGGTCATGTGACATTCATTGGTCTGTGGGAACTATGTATACCCACACTGCACCCTACACACCTCGGCTCTACGAAGTCTGCATTTGTTCGAAGTGCACACCAGGGTTGGAGTACGCAGGTTACAAGTGTGCAAAAAAGGCAGAATTGGGACAGTGCACACTGAGTGCAGGTTACGTCATCGACTCGTCAAGAGATGGTCATTTTCAGACCTAAACTTTATAAACATTAAAAGGTAATTTTGTCTGACCCTTTGGGAGACAAAATGAATTGCTTCACTCACGTTAAAATACATGTATATTAGTTGTTTTTAATTAGAGATAGCTGTATAATTTTAAGTTAAATATGGGTAACTAACTATCTGGTCAGTTTTTATAAATTCTAAGATTATTGTACTAAGTGTAAAGTTTAAATTGAATGTTACATAAACCCTTGCTTTAAAAAGTTATTAAATTGTTAAAACACAATGTCCGTAATTCTTCATTAGACGTTTATGCTTCTTTCCAAGTAACATAGCAAAACTTATTCACACACATACTGCATATATTTTTCAAAATGTATATTTAAATGCATTTTCCTGACGTTTTGGTGTGTACCGCAAAGAATTATGGGCAATATCCTTCGCCAGAGGGCGCATAGATGCAGGCTTTTTTTTTTTTTAAATGAATTTATTTCTTCAAAAGTGCAGGTATACAACATGCATTTGACAATCAGATAGCCAGAGGGTTAAAGCGAAAAAAAATAAAAATAATCATATACAGTCAAATACATTGTACGCAGTACAAATGTCAATAGTCCTTACAGCTTTTTTGTTAGTTATGCGTTATGTCACTTATCAATTTGAGATACAACAAAACATCATTGTAGAATTGTCTAAAGGCAGGCTTCTGCTTGCTATATTTACATTTATGAATGAAATATTTGGCCTGTATAATCAATACATTTTTAATGAAAAAACCTCCTTTTTTTGCCTTCTAAAAAAACAAAAGATCACATTTTCCCATTTTAAATATGGTCAATGATGAATCTACTGAAGTCCTTCCAGAATGAAGTGGTGTGAGAGCAGATCCAAAATATGTGCTGAACAGTCTCCGGGTGGTTTTCACAAAAGCTACATTTCACATCAATGTCTCTTTTAAATTTTGTCATATAGTGATTTGCTGGGTAATATTTATGAATAATTTTAAATGAAACTTCCTTTACCTTATTAGTTATACAAAATGTTTTAGGAATTGTCCAAAGTTATAGGAATTGTCCAAAGTTATTCTCCAATTGAGGTCCGCCACAAAATTACTCCAATAAAAAACATATGGAATAGTCGTAAGGGTATTGTGAAACAATCTACGTACATTTCTATTACTCTTTTTGTGAGACATTAGGCATAACTTTCCCATTTCCGTTTCTAAAATATTGGGAAAAGAAACAGGCCGTGAGTTTGATTCAACACTTTGAAATAACATTTTCACGCCTGAAGGTACAGCCTTCACAAGTGTTGCATGTTCTGTAGGTATAGCTGGGAATTTATATGTGTTTAGGACTTCAAAATATCACTTAAGCTGCCCATTACTGTTGAACAGTTGACTCACCAAAATTATCTGTTTCAACACATTTAGAAAAGAATAATGACTTATTTTTATGAGTGATGTCTCCATTATTCCAAATTATACATTTATGAGGGGAAAAGTTATGCTTATAAATTAGGGACCATGCTAATAATACTTGTTTGTGAAATAATGATAATATTTCTGGAAGTTTGTTTACATTGTAGTTGCAGGATAGAATAAAATTTAAGCCACCAAATTTAGAGAATACAAAATGAGGTATGAAGCTACAAATAGAAAATAGATTTTTGATAAAGTGTTTGGCCCAATTAATTTTAAATGTATTGCGCATAGATGCAGGCTACGGCAAAGTGTGGATCAGGGGCGCAAAGGGGGCGGGGCCAAAGACCTCCCTGGAGAATTGGGACACCCTACGCACTCGCACCCTTTATCGGGAACGCGCAAATGAGAGATCGCCGTTTTCATCCGGGCTTTGTTGAGAATGATGCCAAAGGCATAGACGTCGGAACTATTTTCTGAGAGGGGGGGCGGGTTTTTGTTGGGAGAGTCGAGGGAGAGACTCATACTTGGATTACACTGGATAATAACATACCATCTTAATTGTTAAGAAAAACAAAATAAACAATATATATCAAGCAAGTCACTTATCAAACTGAACTTTTTTTTTTTCAATACGCATTCATGCGTCAGTCTCTCCGGTGGCTTCATTGTGTTGTGTAGCCCAGTGACGTGCGGTCAGATGAGGCAGGCAAGGCCCTCACCTAAGATCATAGAAAGAAAAGTAATAAAATGGATACAATAATGTTTGGTCACTTTATCAAGTGATTTGTGCTGTGCCTTATTTCATTTATTTATACCTTGAAATTGCAGATTTGACAGAGCGGTGCTGTGAGGCAGCCTCTCTTGGGAGACGTAAAAAGCAACAGCTCACAGGGAGAGTCCTGTGAGGTGCTATCAAACTGTTTTCTCTGTTTATCACAGTTTAAAAAGTTCAAAAATATTTAATTTACAATCAACATGTTTACATTTAAGAGGATGGCTCATAAATTGTGTTTTTGAAGCAAATACGGGTCTTAATCGCGCTCAACCACAGCTTGTAAGTGAGGAAAGCCTCAAGGGGGCGCTTGTGAGCCCAAACTTTGGCTGCATCCAATTCCATCAGAAAGCTCCTTTCTTGTTCTTCTTCTGCTAAGGGCAGCTACAGGTTTGGCTAACATACCTATAATACATTTTAAGATAATTTAAAATGCACTTAGAGTAATGTTTTGCTTCCAATGATGATATGAATCATAAGAAAAGGAGGTGAAGGGTAAGGTTGAATTTAGAAATTGGATTTACCCGGGAGTCGGCTGCAGCAAAACTCGCAGTTTACGGAGGAGACACCCGTTTTTTTTACTTTTTAAAACTCATTGAACTTATTTCCAAATGGAGGATTACATGTCTGTGCTCAAACTATTATCTGGACTTAAACATGAAACTGGTCCTAACTGAAGTGGTTTGTGCTGTTCATTAATACCTAAGGTAAGGCCCATAACACACTTTGTACTTTTTACAAACGTTTGCGTTTTGTATGAGAAAACAATGCAGACATTAAATCATATTCTGCTGTAGCCAAACAAATTGTGCATAAGCCGCTCCTGTTCCTGTTGGTTTATATGATGTATAATCATATGAACACATGATTGATCCCCCACCGCACGTCACTGGTGTAGCCAGGTCTCGAATCTGCGCAAGGCTGAGAAAGAGCGCTCAGAGGCTGCGACAGATATTAGCCAGACAGAGCTTCATAAGCACCTCCGACAGCATGGAGCGGGTTTTGGGCTGCAAGGAACGCAGGATAGTGATAACTTCTCGCTCCCGGCACACGCGGAGGGGGTGCGGCCGCACGCGACGTCTATGGCCAAAGGACAATTCTTTTGCCATTTATTTACAAGAACGCCACCTAAAACGTCGAAGTTAAAATTTATGGTAGGAGATGTTATGGCGATGCTTTATTATAGTAAAGAGCTGCAACTTCTAGATGCTTATTCCATTCATCAATATCATTCTCGCAACAACATCAAAGTTACATAGGTACCCAATATTTCTTTTTTCTATTAATTTTTAGAGGAATACGAGTTACTAGACCTATAGGCCTACACAAAAAAATAAAGCGGTCTTGCTGTTGAAAGAAAAGTAAATACAAAATGTCTATACACAATGTCATATTTTAATAAGGCAAATTTTGGGGAACAAACAAATGAATGGTTAAAGGTAAGCTAATTATTACAAATAATGTTTAGTAATAATTACCTGTTTATTTTGTAACCGTTCAAAAAGTCCTTTCCTTCCTGCTATCAGACTGTACAATGAACATTGAGAACTGACCTCACATGTCACCTGTAGCAATAATGGCGTGATGTCAATCTGCAATATGGAACCCAGTAACTTTGCCATATTCTTCTGCTGCTCACACAGGAGCCAGCACTGTTAATACTTAAACCAACATTATATTATAGACCTATAATACATGAACTTGAACCTAAAGAATGAACTATTCCAGATCTTTTTTTTATTGAAAGACAGACATACACATTAATATACATTTCCCGTGCACTGGTGTATTTCAGCTAAAACTAAATTTTATGATGCAGCTAAGGACTACAGAGGAGGAACTGTTGGAGCTGAGGACTGCACAGGAACTGTGAGAAGAGGACCATCACATATACATAAATGCCTTTCCATATCAGTTTTCCGAATTAGTGTTGTATTGCAGGAAGGGCAATGGTAGTGTGCAGAGTCTCTACAGAGCATGTGGCAACGGCATATTTTCCAATCTAAAAAAAAGAAAAAGAACGAATAATGCATTACCCGTTACATCTATATTTTAAGTGCAATTAGAATTACATACACACGATTATGCATTCAGGGCAAGTATCTGGCTTATATTGCTCTGCGACTTGTGCAAAGTAGTAGTAAAATTCAATAGTGAATTGAAAACTATTTCAGTTCATATTTTAAAATTGTTTGCACTTTACATTCACAACCAACTGCAGACACTTTCCAGATTGTTGTGTTTTGAATAACAAATGTATTTCCGTCAGATTTGTTTATTTTGATAAAGCTGAGGTACCACAATTATAAACCACAAAATGTAGTACTTAAATAACAATCCAAGTTCCTGGTTTGCTTGTATCACTAGTGCTCTAGATCTAGCACATCTTCAGCCTTTTTCAGACATAAAAGTGAAAAGTAATCATGATAAAAGACATTAACATTGACTAGATGGCTCTTTCTATTAGCCTATACAAGAAAAGGTAGTACAAGTCTGTTGGGTCAAGAAATTGTTATTATTGAAATGAATAAGGAACCTGCTTTTTAATCATACAATCCTGTATAACATACATCGATATATCCTATGTAGTTAAATAAAATGGGTAGCCGCTATATTATGTTACTTACATACTGTACAATCAATTATTGATTATATTTATTGTAAAAAAAATAAAATCTTACCTTTGTAAGAAATTGCCTGCCTTAAATGTGATTTCAAGTGTATTCGCATTTTATGCAACTTCTGGGGCTTCACCATAGGACATATGGGGCAGTGAAAGAATGTGCAACAGGTTGTGCACCGCTCCACAGGAAAGTTCTCTCCACCTATAATTGATTTGTGCATCTGCAAAGACACGTTATGAACGTTGTCAATACTGAGTTTAAACTGATTTAATTGTACATAGCTAGCGGTAGTGCCTATATAGGTAATGGACGTTAAACCATAAGCATTAATGGTTTACAATCATGTTAGCAATGCATCAACGCAAGGGGGGAAAACAAAGTAACGTACACACTAATATTTGTATGTTTTTTTTATTGACAAAGAACGGTGGGCAAAAATGAAAAGTGAACAGTACTGACTTATTTGTTAATACACCGGATTGTATAGCTTTGAGTTAGCGTTAAAAGTATAAAGCTAAGCGTTGTCGTAGAAAGACAAGTGCAGCCGACAAAAACTAATCAATTAATGTATCTGCAATAATTGAATCACAAAACACGTATTTAAAACGACAACACAAGCATCTTACCGAGACCACAGTTAGTCGCATTAGTAGTGGTGATGTCGTTTCACATGACAGGGGCTTGTGAAGGAGGTCACAATGGGTAGTGGGTAATGGGTAGGTCTGCGATGGGGGGTATCTGCAGCCAGATGCCTCTTGAACTGGACATGGGTGGTGTCTATGGATAATACAAGGGTTAAAGAAAACAGAAAAAGAGGGAACCAAAGACCGGTAACATCATTGTCACTGTTCTGTCATTTTTCTAAAATATCACAGCTTATGCGCATAGATTTTAAAGATGTATTTACTTTATTACAGGGCTATTACTAGTATTACTGACACATTCAAAAGAAGACATTATAAACTTGATTATCAGTGTGGAGACGGTCTGGTCCTCATTTCTCATTATAGTGAAACATGAATATTGTTGATACAAAAAACTCCATATTGAAGAAATGTAGAATAATGCAGCAACCGTTTTTAGTAAAGTGATTTTTTTATTCAAATAACAATTTCACTGTATTGCATCTAGTTAAAAGTTGTATGCAAAAACACCAGTATTTTTTACAGAGAATGTATAAAAGTGTTCTTTAAAAAAATAAAATCCATAATGTTTAAGACAACATTGTGAAATGATTTCAATAATTAAATACATATTGCATGTATTGATTTTCAACATGTAGAGATAAATATTTAACAATATTGGAAAAAAAATATTTGTGTGTGAAATGTTTCTTTTTATGATACTCCTTGGTCATTAGATGCAGTGTTTCCTAAGACATTATCATTCAGTTGCAGAACTTGTTGCAGTATTTCATCAATCACGTCACCCTCATGATTCAATTGAGTCATATCGAAAGGAACATAGTTGACAAGAAGACGTCTAATATTCTGTCGCAGAGCAACCAACCTTAGGATCAAAAACAAGAGAAAACTAGAATTTAATACTCATCAACCAAGTAAAGATAATTCATGGCAGACTTACTTCTGAAAAGCATCATTGCTGGATGAAGGCCCGGGATCCGACGGTGTTTCTTGGACGTCTGTTTGTGCTGATGAACTGGCACATGCAGCAGCACTTTCTTTTATTTGTGCAAGATCTAATTTAAGAGACTCGCATTCAAATGTTAGACTGGCACATTCTTCCTCTGTCGACTTCAGCTTTGGGAAAATGCAAAACAGAGGCTTTAGTTTGCTCAACAAATAAACCTAATGCAAAAGCACACAAACACATCACACTGACCTGTGTTGACAGTCTTTCCTTCTCCTTATTGCATTCATCCAGTTCCCGCATTAGATGATCCACTTGGAGAGCAATCTCATCAATGGCCTTTTCCTCACGTTGCTCATCAGTTGGCTTGACCGGTACAGCTGCCAGTAATGACTCTTTATCTTTTAAAAGTTCATTGATTTTAGTCTTGGCCTTCTCAAACAAGGTTTTGTAGTCCAGTGACTCTGGCTCATCACGCTCCTTTTTAATCTCTTCTTTCTCTAATTCAATGTTAATATGAGACTTGTTAAATTGACTTTTTAGCTCCTGCAGCTGGGACTGAAGCTGCTGAACCTGTTCTTTTAAAGAGTCTCTTTCCTGTTTGAGCAACAACATTTGGTTTTGTACATCCTGCTTTTCTGTAAAATGAGGACGAAGCAGTGATGGAGACTCCCTATCCTCCTCATCCTCATCAGCTGCAGCAGGACAAATATTATCATTTCTGATGTCAAGATCAGCTGTCATTTCATTGGGCACAGGCTGACTGAGCTGCTCCTCCTTCATATCTTTCTCACAGACAGTGTCCTTAGAACAAGCTGGAGGGTCTTCATCATTATTTTCTGATTGTTCTGTACTCCTTTGAATGGTCTTCTCCTTTTTGACTTTAAAGGTTTCTGTTTGTGTGGTGATATTAGACACTGTGGCAGTTTCTTCATCAGCTGGAGTGTTGCATGTAGCATCGTCTACAGCAGCATCATCACTGCACTCCAGCAGCAGATTCACATCACACTCCATCTCAGTCTCAGTCTTTACTTTGACCAAATCAACGTCCTTGTTATTAGGTTTAGGTGTGCTGGCACCCTCCACAATGACAATATCATCATCCGTTTCATCATCACTGTTGTCAACAATGGGGATTGAGGGTGAGCTGGCAGGGCTGGCATCCAAGGATAAAACCTGCTCTGATGCTTTGAACCGTTGTCTTTTGGGTGGAACATTTGGAGAGTTTGGAGAGTAAGACTGCTGCCTTTTCCCACTGAAAAACAAAAACAACAATAGATATTCGTGAGAGTATTCATTGATTTAACTTAATCTGCCAGACACTTCATTATATGAAATCTTCTTACTTTAACATCGCAGCCAGAGAGCATACATTAGAAATAACCGGAAGACCATTGCTGGTGGACGGACTGCAGGCTGTAATAACATGAGGATCGTAGTGATGCTAACAATGAGTTACGTGTTCAATTTTAAATAAAAGGGGGAAAAATTAATACAAATATGAATAAAATCGTACCAGCTTGTGAGATAGAGGAAGGCGTGAGGGGAGAGCCGCCTTGTATTGCATGTGGGTTCACGCTGCTTTTTGGTGTGGTTGGAGTGGAAGACGCAGATTTATTCTGAAAAATAATTCAGTACATATGTTATATATTATTCAAGTATATATTATTATCATTACGTTTAATATAGTTGTGCTATTCAATAAACAAATCAAATAAACATACAGTTTGTTGCAGCTGTCGTAGAATAGCCTCCGTTTCTCGTTTGACATGAGCCTCCAATTGTTGCCGTTGTCTTTGCTTCTGATCTTTCTCTGCCTGTGAAACCCCAAAAGAGTGACCTTTTAGTGTCTGTTTGAACACCGTTAATTTAAGCTGGATGTTGCCTAGTGTGTTGGTGAAGTTGAATAGTCTAAAAATAAATCTTAATACAACTCAAATACAAGCCTTTAGTATTAAGTCAATGCATTTTCAGTTTATATTGTATCTTTTCTGAGATAAGTACAATTTTATATTAGTTCAGTTCAGTAGCCCATACTAAATCATATTATTGTAGATCCATGGTCTGGCACAAAGCTGATCACACCGATCAAATAGTCAGGGCGGGCTTTACGATGATGGGCAAATAAGCAACAGCAACGTAGGCAGCCACGTCATAAAAGAGTGCGGGGCGACCATATCGGCGAATATCATGGCTCTATAATATGGCTATAAACAACTATAATATGGCTATAAACAACGCTCATATGCCTACGATGGTTTGATCATGGATAAAATACACTGAAATGAGGAATGTGGCAACGCACATGTATCGATCAGATTGGACAATAAACACGACTCACTTTTTACAGATGAAACATTTGGAAATCGAGGACATGTTCATAGACATTAACGACAACAAGCTTACCTCTGTGTTGCCTCTCTGCACATTTGTACTGAGTGGTGTTGAGGGATCGGGGCATAGCTTCTCCAAAGGCGGCTCTGAGGGAGTAGGCTCCTGGTCTCTTTTCTCGTCTATGCTTTTCTCTAATGATGCCTCTGAGGAACATGCTTCTTCTACCTTCTCTCCTTCGTCGAATCTCCATATATTAAAAAGGGGAATTACGCGTTCCAGTCGTAATATCAGGGTGTAACATGACCGACAAATGCGACGTGATTTGTCTGCTGTTCTGTGGAGTTTTAACCCTAAACGGAGGACTTGATCGTATACACACTGACCTTTGTTATTGGTCCCAAAAATGAGTAACGTGTTGGCAAACACTCCGTTTACCTTTAAGTTCTTTTTACAGAACCGGCAATAGTCATTAACATTCATCTTAAACTACTTCCAGCGTGCATCCTGTAGAGTTCTGTTAACAACAAACACTATGCGTCGCGTAACATACGTCACACCCTACGTTCCTCTGGTTGGTTGTTGAACTATCCAATGGAGCGAAGACTCATTGTTTTTTTTCCTGGTTTGGTTGAAAAGAAACCACGGGGTTGAGCCCATGGATGTATTATGATAACGTTGAGCCACGCCTCACGATCACGTTCCAATGGATAAAATTCAAACTCACTTTCTGACCAGAATCGTAAGGATGATGTAGTTAGGATACCAGTTGATAGCCTCATCAAAGAAAAAGAGACCAGAAATCTGCTCCCTCCAAGACACCCAGGGCTCTGGCTCAATCCGTTTACACCAACAGTACAAAAACACAGACTATTCTTGAATATGAAACTATAATATGTTTTTCATTGTGTGATTCGTGTTTATTGCTGTGTTAAGTGATCACCCTATGATCAAACCATCGTAGGCATATTAGCCGATACGGTAGACTAGTGTATATTCTGGAAGCTCTCTTTCATGATGTCGCTGCTTAGTTAATGTTGTTCATCTGCCCATCATTGTAAGAAGCCCTGACAATTTGATTGGTGTGATCTCTCCTGTTCAGACGTAGTTCCACTCCAATGGAGCAATGCCAGACCGCACTTCCCGCTGGATGGTGGCGGGGCTAAAGTTTGGCTACACCCCGGCTGACCAGTTCCTCCAGTAATGTTCAAATACCCATACATCTTTTTTCTCACCTGCAGTCTTCTCCTTTCTTGTAACCTTTTGTCCTCCCTTTCTCTAAAAACAAATACAAAAGATATTTGAACATTTAAAACCGAAACATCTTAGCATAGACTGTAAATATTAACGCATGTAGTGATGCCTTTTTCCGCCATTGAAAGAGCTAACTTTTGGACCAGGCTGTAAAGCTGTTTAAGAGGAAAATAGGCGGCATAAGAATGCATTGGATAATTCTGTTTCCGGGTACGCCATCACAGGCAGATTACAGGCATGGTAGCGCACATGCTCCTTGACACTTTTGAGCCGACCCCCCTCCCTCACCTCATCCCAGCCACGTACATTTACTATTTATAAGTCTAGAGTAAATCATCTCTCACTGTTGTTTGTAAGTCTTGCAGTATGAAGGCTTATTTTCATCATCGGAGTCCTCTGGTTCCTCCTCAACATGACAGCTCCTAGAAGTGGGAGAAAACAAAGACATTGCAATGCACAATAAATAGCTATAGGAACATAACCCAATTTATCAGTTTGAGCATTTATAATAATGTATGATATTCATTTGAACATTTGTATGCCCACCGGAACTGCGGATCTGGATTCAAATAGCAAAACCATTTGTCGGGCAGCTTTGTGCAGTCAATCCCATCCGGAAGTTTCCGCCATCGAGAACAGTCGTCACATTGTGCCCAGTTTTGGTCTGGTTTTTTACTGAAAAATAATAAAAACAAAATTATATATTTATAAAAAGGTTAAAAAATAATAATCTCCGCCTCTCTCTGACTCTGCATGATTACTGCCATCTTGGTCAATATACTCATCGCATCCTATATAGATGTTTGTAATTTCCTTCCTTTCCTTCCACAGAGCACTTCCCCATGAGGCATCATTGAGGCTACTGGGGCTAGCCTTGTCTATCAATATTCAGCCTACGCCCCGACTTCTGACAATTTAACCTTCTGACCCAACTCAAAACTCTTTTCTAGAATAAACTTTTATTTAATTTAGCATCATTGTTTGTCAAGTGGTCCCATGTTTCTTGCAGGGGTTACTAACACGCTAAATCAAAAGCGAGAAGTTTTCTCAGTCATGAACAATTTCTCACATTTCAGGTCACGGAACACAGAACACAGTGGATTGGACTCTCCCCTGAACAGGCCATACCCTGGACTCTATGGCAGTGTCTCCCAAAGTGGGGTCCGCGGCCCCCTGGTGGGCCGCGAGGGTACTGCAGGGGGGCCGCGGGAGGTCATAAAAAAAAAATATATATATATATATATAATTATTTAATGTTAAATGTATAATGTTTTGTTTGTAATATTAAAATATTTGTGTTCATTATTTGACTTGAATAATCCACTGTAATCATTTTTGTATTACAATGTTTTTAGCAGAGGCTATTTCCCCAAAATAAAAAAACCAGAAGAGCCTATTCTTAATGTTGTCTTCTTGGTTATTATTTTGGGGGGCCACGCAGACCCGTCAGATTTTTAAGGGGGCCTCGGTGTTACTGAGTTTGGGAATGGCTGCTCTATGGCATACAGGGATCACAAGCTGAATACAGTGTAAAATCCAGAGGAGCAGGAGAGGGAGTGAGGGCTACCAGAAGACCGCAGTACTACTGAACTAATCACCACAGCACACACAGTGTCATATAATGTTTTTGGACTGTACAAGGGGCGCATGAGAAGACAGCAGTTCACATAATCGTGGGCCCAGCAGCACTTAGCCAATCAGGATGTAGAACACAATGCGTTTGTTAAATAAAAAAATAAACCTACAGAAATGATCACACACATACACACACAAAAAATCTGTGAAACATTGATGCTGCAAAAGGCGAAACACATTATTGCGAGGGACCACTGTACTTCAGTTCTTAATTGATTTTTTATCCTATCTTGAGTTATGAGAATGGGGCAAGTAAAAAATGTCATTATTACAGTGAACAAACAGAAATCACACACTGTACAATTATCAATCAATGCTTCGCACACAAAAATATTGATATTCCTGAAAAAGGACCTACATTGTATCTTCTATTGGTATGCCTGAGGGATCTTCTTTGGATCTCCTGAATCGGATTTCCTTCCAGTATTCCTCAAGTTTGATTCCCAAACTGGTCATAGTTTTCCTAAAATCACATAATCATCACACATCAACCACAGAAACAAAGCCATGAGAAACACGTGGGTATGAAGTAGAATACCTGTATTTATCGTTTTCCTCAAAGCTTTGTTTGTTGTGAGTGGGATCTAGAAAGTTGCACTCTATGACGCCAATGACACCGACCCCTTTTTTGTCTGCCTGTTAATTGTAAATGTAATACGCTTTAAACATTAATCAAATGTACAATTAAGCAGTGAAAATGAACTTACCTTGAGTTGGCACCCCACACGTTCATACGCTTTAATTAGTCGATTTTTATGGTACATCATCATGCCATATTGATCCTTACTTTTTGTGTTGTACCCAAAAGTAATTGGAATTCGTTTGTTCTAAAGTAAAAGTTAAGGGGGAAAATACTTGCATTGTACATGTCAAAAGTACTCATTACAAGAAAAAGGATACATAGAAACTTGGCTTGTAGTGGTCCTTTCTACTGTGGGCAAGGCTTTTTGCAATGAGCTGAGACTTCACTTTTTTACCACGTATCATGAGCTGCATTCGAGGCTTCAGGTAGAGAATACTGCAGTAGGCCTGAATACAATCAGTTATCAGTGTTAGTAATGAAAAGTGGAAAGCTTTGCACATCCGGGTCTGTGACAGGTGCGAAGCAGGCCCCGCATTGGTCAAACTTTGAAAAGGAAAACAATTTTTACATTTTCATTTCAAAAAGGTTATAGGAAATAGAGGCTTTCTGCAAATTAATGAAAAATCAAGAATGGGCCAAAGTTTATGTAGGAATTGAATGTACCCATCTAATTTGCATAATATGATGTCATATGGTGGTGGCAATTGTGGATTTTAGAATGTTTTTTAAACTGACAAACATACAAATCACTAAGACATGAACACACAAACAGAACTCACATTGTACCAAACTAAATGGTCAGGGAAATGGTTAAACAGTGTAAATCCTTACTACCCCTGCTGCGAGTCGCAGACCCAGACGTGTGCCTGCCAAGTAGGGCTGAAACAACTAATCGATAAATCAACGACTAATCGATTATTGAAATAGTCGACAACTATTTTACTAATCGATTAATCGTTTTCTGGTTCACACGGACTCAAACAGAGCAAAAATGACATGAAAATGTATTTTTGATTAAAACCGACTTTGTTTTTATAATTTCATGAATATCTGTCCGTCTCATCCAATCAAATAGCAGAATTAGCACAAAGAGCCTGTTACAAACATTTACTTTAAGTTTACGCCATCAATACGTCCTCGAGTGTTGCCACTTTAGCTTTTTGTGATGAAAAAATAAAAATGTTCTACACAATTCACAGCCAAGCGATTACTCGATTAATCGTAAAAATAATCAATAGATTAATCGATTACAAAATAATCGTTAGTTGCAGCTCTACTGCCAAGTGTCATTGCGACTGTCGCGGCTCCTCCGTTGGCCCCTAGCTCTCCATCTCTTGTCTAATTTATCGTTTTATCCTCTAAAGAGAAGCCTTACTTTTATTAGACAAATGCTACTGCATCACCTACTGTCCCCACGATTATGGGGAGGCACAAGCAGGCTGCATCCTCTGCTACATCCTCCAGGCTTGTTCTCCGCATAAAAACAACATGCCTCCAAAACTCCCGATGAGCAACCCGACCACTGACACTGGACAAAGCGTCTAAAGGTGTAACTTGTGTGGGACAACACTGCACACTTCGCCATGAGTTCCCCACTGATTCAAGCGGAAGTGGCGCAAGTCCAACCTCCAGGTTGATTACGAGATCTTCAAAGATAAGTTGTGCGAGTTTAACCGGGTGCTACGTAGTACGAGAGAAAGGTATTTTTCTGAAATGATTGAAGGCTGCAGCCTTCAGGCTGTGTGTTCTGTTCTCAACAGTTAATAGATTAACAAACCCCCCTGTTCAAATGCCATTAGAGCTAACTTCCAAACGTAAATGCAATGAGTTTGCAAATTTTTTCAATGACAAGGTTCAAGGCATCAAAAACGCCATTGTCTCCAATCCACAGATAACCATCCAACAACCAAAAAGGCTCTCTGAGCTAACTTACTTTGCACCTGTAGATGATCAAACTGTCTGAGCTCCTCCACTTGCAGCCTGGATGTACTACCCACTAGATTTCTGAAGTCTGTTCTGAGCAGTCTGTAACTTTCACTCACACAGATAGTAAACAGGTCCTTTCATTCTGGAATATTCCCAAAGGCCCTGAAAACTGCAGTCATCAGGCCCCTGCTAAAAAAGAGCAGTCTGAATGCTACGGTACTGAACAACTATCGTCCCATGTCAAATCTGCCATTTATGGGGAAAATCCTTGAAAAAGATGTCTACCAACAGCTAAATAGATTTCTTATAATCAACAACTCATTTGATATGTTTCAGTCCGGCTTTAGACCCCACCACAGCCTGCTTGTAACCTTGACTGCTCTCGTCAAGGTAACAAACGATATCCGGCTGAACACTGACGCAGGCCAAGTCTCAATCTTAATCTTGTTAGATCTGAGTGCTGCCTTTGACACCGTTGACCATGAGATCCTCTTACAAAGATTAGAGGACTGGGTTGGCGTCTTACCTTGAAGACAGGAAGTACTTTGTGGAGATTGGAAACTGTGTCTCAGATCATATGGCCCTGACCTGTGGAGCCCCACAGGGGTCAATCCTGGGACCTCTTCTGTTAAAGCTCTACATGCTGCCGTTAGGTCAGTTAATACGCAGAAACAAAGTGTCCTATCATAACTATGCAGACGACACTCAGATCTATGTCTCACTGACTGCAGGAGAACATGGACCAGTGGACTCACTCCTTCACTGTATCCAACAGATTAGTGAGTGGATGCAAAACAACTTCCTTCAGCTAAACACAGACAAAACTGAAATGATCGTCTTTGGTCCCCAGAAACAAAGAGAGAGCGTCATCTGTCACCTACAGTCTCTCTCCCTAAAACCTTCAAACAAGGTCAGATACTGGACTCAGACTTAAATTTTAATAGCCACATCAAATCAGTAACATCAGCAGCTTTTTACCATCTAAAAAACATTGCCAGGATCAAAAACTTAGTGTCTAAAGCAGACTTGGAGAATCTTATCCATGCTTTTGTCTCCAGTAGGTTAGACTACTGCAATGGCCTGCTCACAGGTCTGTCCAAACAGGCTGTAAAACAGCTGCAGTACATTCAAAATGCAGCAGCTCGAGTCCCGACTAGAACCAGAAAGTACGACCACATTAGTCCTGACTAGAACCAGGAAGTACGACCACATTAGTCCAGTGCTCAGGTCTCTGCACTGGCTTCCTGTGGCTCAGAGAATAGACTTTAAAACAGCTCTGCTTGTGTACAAGTCTCTCCATGGCCTCGCACCAAAATATATTAGTGACATGTTAGTCCCATATGAACCAGCCCGGACTCTGAGGAGCACAGGGACTGGACTCCTGTTAGTGCCCAGAGTCAGAACTAAACATGGGGAGGCTGCTTTTCAGATTCATGCTGCTAAAATCTGGAACAGTCTTCCTGAAGATGTGAGACAGGCCTCCTCTCTGACAATGTTTAAAACCAGGTTAAAGACAGTTCTGTTTAACTGTGCATACAACTGAGGGATTTTATATTTTTATCTTTCTTTTTAATGTTCTGTGATTATTTATGATTTTAATGCTATCTTATTTTGTTCAGCACTTTGAATTGCCTTGTGTATGAATTGTACTATATAACTAAACTTGCCTTGCCTTGATTCAAGATCCTATTGCTCAAATATTTTGTAGAAGCATGATTTGGGGAGGTTGTGCTACATTGTTTGAATGAATTTTGACAACCTGTTTGACATTTTGTCGAGAGTTAAATACAGATTAAGTATCACTATGAAAAAAATAGGAAACCATAAGTTCAAACATATTTACCCGAAGTGAGTAGAGACTTTCAGGGATGTGCGAAATGTCACTCATTTCCAAGTAGACATCCGATGGCATTCGTACATCATAACGGTCATAATTAAAATCAATCTCCAGTCCACCTTGTGAAGTTCTGTTGGGCGCAAATCAAATGTTTAAATACATTTTCAGCAAGGATTTATGGCAGTAACATGTGAAATGAGTCAAACCTGCGGAGATTCCATATTATGATCCGCGTCCCTGTTTTCGTGCTCGACCATGAAGGACCTATGGCATTTATCTCAGTGAGCAGGTCAGATTGCGTTCTAAAGGGAGAATAGCAGAGTATGTCCTGGAGGCTGGCTTTGTGCTCCTCCTTTACAAAGAGTAAAACCAAAGTCAAGGGCAAAGATAGAAAGATGATCAGGCTTAATGAGCACATGCGATTGCGGACAGAACACCACAAACCAATAAGTCGCCCTGATGAGTGTTTATTATTGAAATTTTATTAATCTATTCATTTACTTCCACTCTATCCATTACCGGGTAGAGGGGGCAGCAGTCTGAGCAGAGACGTCCAGACTTCCCTCTCCGCACACACCTCGAAGCAGCTGCTCCACTCCTCCCATCCGACCCCACCCTATCTCTAAGAAAACGCTCAGCGGAGAAAACTTATTTTGACCGCTTGTATTTGTGATCTCGCCCCTTTGGCCATTACCCATTCCATGGGCCTGTACCTGTTAAGAACGTTTCCAACAGAAGGAGTTGGGTAAAAGCAAAAATCACCTTTGAGTATCAGGTATCAGTATCATAAATTGGACAAGATAGTTATTATCATTAAAAAGGATATTGTTTTTCCCACTCTGCTCAAAGCACACAATAGGCACACGGATCTGTTCAGCACCAATCTCCTGAAGGTAAGTCTGTGAGAGCATTCCAATACACATTGTAGTTTCGGATTTGGAGAACACAATTGCATCTTTCCCGAGCCGCATAGAGCCAGACTTGAATCCATTTCCATAGATGCCAATTGGTTGGACGCCCTTAAGAGCAACTTTGTCACTATAGCCGAAGCTGAAATGCAAACCATTTTCAGTAACAATAGACTCAAATATATGTGGCCTTTTCATAGAAATAATTATGACCAATGCTGAATGTGTTTACCTTAACATCTTGTGCATAGTATGGTAGTCCAGTCCATTGCCATCGTCCATAAAGCTCAGGCAATCCTGCTTATTGACCACAGTTTTATCAATCCAGAAGTGCTGGGCGTTAACATCTGGATCATATGCATTATCTAAAATAAAACATATCATTGTTTATCAAATTGAATAAAGGCAAAAAACCCAAAACAATTATAGAGCAATCATGATTCACCAATAAGTTCAGCGATGGCACTGAAGGGCCATGTGTGGCTGGTGGAGTTGGTGTGGAGATATTTAGGGGAAAGCTAGAAAACAATTAAATGTTAAAATGTATTGAGAGTTTAGTACACACAAAATCTTTACTACTGATATAGTACAAGTGCATACATTATAAAGCGTATCTTTCAAAGAAGACTTTGAGTAATAACGCTAGTTGAATCTAAACAACTTTCCGTGCTGAGGCTGTGTGGATATTTACATATGTACAAAGTGAAACTAACACTAACCCGGACGCTGTAGTTTACAAATAGTAGCAACAAAATATATCAACAGTAAGACACAGTTTGACTTAAGGCACACCCCACGTGTGTATAAAGTTATGGAAAAACACATGTTTTTGCAACACAAATGTCCAAAGATTAGGCTGTAGCTAAAAGCTATTAGCCTGTAGCTTCTTCAGATATCACCTAGAGTTAGCTCTTTCAAACAGACAAGCCATCGTAGCCGACATCACAAATATTGTAAATCCAATCTACATTCAAAGAAGATAAATGATCTTACAGTGCTCAGAGGGACTCCTCGGTCTGTATGTGCCGCCATGTCTTAAGTCTCCTTGTTCTTTGCGATAACCACACAACATCAACATGGCGCCCCTGTGGCCAGCCCCGGTACTGCAACACAGTCCATCTGTTCATGATGTCAAGTAGCTCAAGGGCCCAATCCCAATACCCACACTGGAACCCTACACACCTCTGCGAAGTGTGCATTTGTTCGAAGTGCACACCAGGGTTAGAGTACGCAGGTTACAAGTGTGCAAAAAAGGCAGAATTGGGACAGTGCACACTGAGTGCAGGTCACGTCATCGACTCGTCAAGAGATGGTCATTTTCAGACCTAAACTTTATAAACATTAAAGGTTATTTTGTCTGACCCTTTGGGAAACAAAATGAATTGCTTCACACACGTTAAAATACATGTATATTAGTTGTTTTTAATTAGAGATAGCTGTATAATTTTAAGTTAAATGTGGGTAACTAACTATCTGGTCAGTTTTTATACATTCTAAGATTATTTTACAAAGTGTAAAGTTTAAATTAAACACAATGTCCGTAAATCTTCATCAGACGTTTATGCTTCTTTCCAAGTAACATAGTGTTGCAGGTATCGGCCGGTACAATATCTGCTGACAGTTTATTATTTTTTTATTTGGGGAAGGATTGGGATTGAAACTGAAATTAAAAGAAAAGAGACAGTCACACTCAACTTCGCTCCAGGCTCTCTGCTTGCCGACTGACGCGAAGCAGGAGCGGGCGCCTTAAAACTGTCTCCTTACCAGCACTGCCCTCTAGTGGTAGGCGTCAATATCTATTTTAAATTTATTTAATTATACGGAATAATGTGACCACACATAGTGGGCGTCACACGCTCCCTGACAAAAGAAAAGATGGCTCCCGACATGAACAAAAATATTACATTTCCTCAGTAAATATTTCTACAACACCAAACCATTCCAACCCATTTTCAATTGTCTTTAAAGTCTCAAAAGTTTATGCAACACACACCCCGGGTGTCTGGTAATTATAAGGTAAGTATGAAACTGGTGGTGGGTAAGTACCAAAGTAGTATGGCCTATACATAGGTGGCATGTAAGTCATAACTGGGTAGTTCTGAGGAACAGGAAAATATGGTACGTTTCCATCAACTAAATCAGGGGTGTCAAACTCATTTTGGTCCGGGGGCCACATACAACCTAATCTGATCTCAAGTGGGCCGGACCAGGAGATGCTCTACAAAAATATCCAAAAACGGTACAAAGTCCAACTTTTTGTGCACATAAACACATTTATTTAAAACTTCCTTTAAAACACTATCCTTTAATACTAAGTTTTCTGTTACAAACTTAAATGTAACAGTGAGTTTTCCATAGTGCAAATAATGTAGCGTATTTACAATATTACATTGAAAATGGTATTTCACAATATGTATATTAATATTTGTGTGTTAGCTTTGTTTTAAGGCTCATTACAGAGAAAACCTGCTCACAAAGGTAAAAGTAGGTAGATAGAAAAAAGCACTTAACTCACTGACTGCCAGGCATTTTCAGATTTGAGAAGTGCATTCTGCCAGCAATTTCAGGTGATTTGACCCAACTTTGAAGTGCCACAGAATATTCATTTTTTAGACAATGTAAACACCAAGGGCACCAAATTAAAGATTCACCTCTCTGCTTTACTCTGAAAAAAACAGTTTGTTTCTACCTCTTACCGTTCTTGCGTTATTCGCCATAGAACAAAGCATACTTTCACCCATAACACCTGGTCTGAGCAAGAAAACAGAGAAAACGAGCTGTATGTAAACAGGAACATATCAAGCAGAAAAGAGACTTTTAGATGCATTTTTGCTGCTTTAGTGACAACTCAAAACATCTTCACACTTGTTCCATTACAAAAAATATAAAAACATGACTCTGAAATAATACTTTTGATGGCAAATTGCAATTGCAATTTATTCACAGATAGAAAATTTAACTTTCTTCTATACCATCAACCAAAACGTCAAACAACAACAACACAAAGATCAATAAAACTATAGATGTATAAAATAGAATGAAGCATGTGAATTTGAGTGTGTGTGTGACTGTCAGTGTGCGAGTGAGTGTCTGTGTGAGTGAGTGTCTGTGTGCGTGAGTGAGTGAGTGAGTGCGTGTGAGTGTTTGTGAGTGTGTCCGATAAATCATGATCAGGTTTGCTGAACGAATCCGAGGCATCAGTAACAACAGCAGCTGATACGCTGCGAGAGGCGGAAGGTGTGTCTCTGCTCGGGGCTCTTGCTCCGCGCAAATATGGCTGCAGAGACGGACTTCCACCGGGGTCTCCCCTCTCTCCCCTCTCGACCTCACTCACTGATCCGCGAGTCAATCTCTGAAGCAGTGTCAACTGCTTATAACTATTCTTTTTCTCCATCACTCTTGCTATACTATCGCTAAACTAGATCACTGATCCGTCTCAATGCTACAGCAGCACGCTCTGCTACAGCACCACGCTTTCTCACACTCCCACACTCCTCCTCCTTCTCTCCACTGACTTATGACCTCTCCTGTGGTGCAATACTGCATCCTACTGGTGGTGATTTATCATTACAGGTACATTTGTACTATATATCAGTGTTGTGGGTCATTCACAAGGTGCGCCAGACATTACTGCAGCCTCCCGTGTAATAACACGAAAAACTCGTCAAACTCGTCATGGGCAGTGAGCGTTACTATTCAACATGACGAGTTTTGTCGTCATGGGCAGTGAATGAGTTAAACACAGCACCTCAGCTTAACCATCTTCAGTGTGGTAAGGTCCATGGTTATGTTATTATCACATTAACCATCTTCAGTGTGTAAGGTCCATGGTTATGTTATTATCACATTAACCATCTTCAGTGTGGTAAGGTCCATGGTTATGTTATTATCACATTAACCATCTTCAGTGTGGTAAGGTCCATGGTTATGTTATTATCACATTATCCATCTTCAGTGTGGTAAAGTCCATGGTTATGTTATTATCACATTAACCATCTTCAGTGTGGTAAGGTCCATGGTTATGTTATTATCACATTAACCATCTTCAGTGTGTAAGGTCCATGGTTATGTTATTATCACATTATCCATCTTCAGTGTGGTAAAGTCCATGGTTATGTTATTATCACATTATCCATCTTCAGTGTGGTAAAGTCCATGGTTATGTTATAATCACATTAACCTTCTTCAGTGTGGTAAGGTCCATGGTTATGTTATTATCACATTAACCATCTTCAGTGTGTAAGGTCCATGGTTATGTTATTATCACATTAACCATCTTCAGTGTGGTAAGGTCCATGGTTATGTTATTATCACATTAACCATCTTCAGTGTGGTAAGGTCCATGGTTATGTTATTATCACATTAACCATCTTCAGTGTGGTAAGGTCCATGGTTATGTTATTATCACATTAACCATCTTCAGTGTGTAAGGTCCATGGTTATGTTATTATCACATTAACCATCTTCAGTGTGGTAAAGTCCATGGTTATGTTATTATCACATTAACCATCTTCAGTGTGGTAAGGTCCATGGTTATGTTATTATCACATTAACCATCTTCAGTGTGTAAGGTCCATGGTTATGTTATTATCACAGAGAAAGCATCAAACTGACCATGATTCAGTTAATGAATAAAACAACTTCCATAACCAAAGCAAAGGAAGGTTTCTCACCCATCATCTGTACTTCTTAGCAAGTTTTACTTCCATAACGTGATTCATTCTTAACGACTGCAGCAGTGTCTCTGTGTAAAATACAGTCAAATGTCCAAAAATCATCACCTCCATTTGCAGCTTTGTCACTACACCTGTTTTTACCATCGGTACCGGTCCACACTGTCCAACACACCAGCAACAACAGCAGAACCAGCAGCAGCACCAGCAGCAGCGCTCAAAACTCCTCTGATAGTTTCAGTAACACCACAAATGAATATGTGACATCAGTAACATCAGTCTCTTATCAATGGCAACATGTTGGTAAAAGCGAGTGGTTTCTCAGACCATGTCTGCAGCCTGTGAGAGAGATTTAACAAACTCTCTCTCTCACTGTGCGGCTGCGATGCTAATGCTAATGTTGTTAGCACAGGTAGCTTCCCTTCACAACAGCAGAACTAACCTCTCGCTCTGGGCACAAACAGACTGCTGTGTCTTCAGGGCCAGACAGGTTTATCTTCTGTTTTCTCAATTCTTCGCTCAAAGTGCCGTATTTTTCGCCGAGTCTTGTAGTTTAAGATGTTATTCCTTCAGCACCGCTCTGGTGGAGCCACTACAGACGCACTGGACTCACCCCTGAGCGCGGCGCTGCGGCGTCGCGGCGCCTCGCGGCGCGGAGCCTCGCGTCGCGGAGCGGCTTTTTAAAATGTAACTTTATTATATTTTTACATAAATGAGCCACGGGCCGTGTCAAATCTCTTGGCGGGCCGGTTCCGGCCCGCGGGCCGTATGAATGACACCCCTGAACTAAATTAACTGTTCCCTGCGTATACAAGGAAGGCTGACCTAGTGTCTCATAAGTGAACAAATGACGTGGCCTTCTATCTCGTGCAGACCTCCTAACCTCGGTGTGGTCTATCGGGTGAGTAGACAGTCTCTGTACTGGGTCAGATGCTGCGTTGTCCCCGGGTCCTTCTCCCTCAGGCATGGCAAAGGCACTTTCATCCTCCAACACCTCCTCACACATGAGAGGTGCAGTAGATGAATCCTCGGCCTCTTCTCCATCAGATGGGTGTGGGAGCACAGCTGGTGTGTCCTCAACAGGTGTTCTCTCAGGTAAGTGTCTAGTTTGTCTGTTTGGCGGTTCTCTTGCACATCCTAACGCTGTACTTGGCTGGCACGAGGTTTGCTCTTCAATGTTTTGTCTTTGTACAGACCTTTCAGCCGGTATTCTCAACCAGTATCCAACACAACTTTCTTCATCCGAGTCACTTTCTGAGTTATCACTGGTTTTGGTCTGTTCTTGTGCTTGTACAACTCTCCTTTTTGTTCTGCTTGCTCTTGGATTGTTATTTTTAGGTCGTTCAGAGTGTATACTGATTTCAACAGGTAAGTCATTTACTAACAACAGGAGATTACGATGTAGCGTGCGTGTCTTTTTCCTTTCTCCATTCTCAGGATGAACAACATATATTGGATTTTGGCCAAGCTGCTCTTTGACTAAATAAATAGTCTTTTCCCAGTAGGATCTCAGCTTGCCGGGCCCTCCACGTTGACTGAGATTACGGACTAAAACTCTGTCTCCTGGCTGTAGTACCACACCTTTTATTTTCTTGTCATATGTCACTTTTCCTCTTGCACTAGATTTTTTACTGTTCTCACTAGCAATGCGGTATGCCTCTGACATGCGCTCTGCCCATTTTTCTGCATACCCCTTAGGTGAGTATGTTTCTCCTGCCTCAGCTAAACCAAACAACAGATCTACAGGCAGGCGGGGATTACGGCCATAGAGCAGAAAAAAAGGCGAGTATCCAGTTGCCTCATGTCGTGTACAATTGTACGCATGTACAATGTGTGAGAGATGGTCTTTCCACCGCAGCTTCTCAGTGTCTGTCAGTGTACGTAACATTTGGAGAATGGTTCGATTTAGACGCTCTGCTGGATTACTTTGTGGATGGTATGGGGACGTGCGTGAATGGCCCACACCAGAAAAATGTTGCAGTGTCTTAAACAGTTCATTTTCGAATTCACGCCCCTGATCATGGTGTAGTTTTTGGGGATACCCAAACCGGGGAATAAAATCTTGGAAAATGCGTTCGGCTGCTGTGCGTCCACTTTTGTTCTTTGTAGGATAGGCCTGAGCATACCTTGTAAAGTGGTCAATAATCACTAGTATGTACTCGTACCCTCCACGACTGGTCTCTAGGTGTAAATAGTCAATACACACGAGCTCTAGGGGGGAACTTGTACTTATACTACCCATAGGAGCTCGGACGTGTGTCACAGGCTTCTTTGACATGATGCAAGGGCATTTCTGAGTGACATATGACTCAATTTCTTTTGCCATAAAGGGCCAATAGAATCTTTCCCTGGCAAGATGAAGCACTCTTTCAGTACCAACATGTCCCATCTCATTGTGAAGCTGTTGTAAGGCAAGACTTCTGTATTTTGCAGGAAGTACAAGCTGTTTTCTCTCTTTGGTTCTTCGGTATAGGAGTTCGTTTTCCAAGTAAAACTTAGTCCATTCATGTAACAGTTTTTGTGCTGCCCCACTCACTGTTTTACGTACCTCCTCTGTCAGTTTTGTTTGTTTTTCTTTCAGTCTGATAACTTGACTGATGGCTGGATCTTCCCGCTGAGCTTTGACCAGGTCACTGTGACTGATGCTCCTCAATTTGGCAGGAAGAGGCTGGTGGGAGTCCGGGGCAGTAGTGTTGAGAGCGGCGACCCAAGCGACGTCTTTCTGCTGGGCGGCGTGGCTCCCATTCCATGCAGCTCGAACAGCCTCATCTGAAAAAATCTCAGTACACTCACAAACAAACTTCTCAATGTCTAGTGGTAAACGCGAGAGTGTGTCTGCGTCAATGTTCACTTTACCGGGTCTGTATCTTATGTCAAATCTGAAGTCCGAAAGTTCCCCCACCCATCTGTGTCCGACTGCATTAAGTTTCGCTGTGCTCATAACATAAGTCAGAGGGTTGTTGTCGGTATAAATGGTGAAATGGGGTGCATAATATAAATAGTCTCTGAATTTTTCACACACGGCCCATTTCAAGGCGAGAAACTCTAACTTCCCACTATGTAAATAGTAGTTACGTTCAGCTTGTGTCAAAGTCCGTGACCCATAACCTATGACACGCAATATGCCATTCTGACGCTGGTAAAGGACCGCTCCTAAACCCTTGTCAGAAGCGTCTGTGTGAAGAGTGAAAGGCAAATTAAAGTCTGGGTAGGCTAGTACAGGGGGGTTAGTGAGGAGAGAAACTAACACTTCAAGGGCTTCCTGATGTACAAGTGTCCATGTGACAGGCTCTTTCGAATGTAACTGTGGTCGCTTGCTACTTTTTTTACAAGTGGTACTCTGGACTGTGCCTGTCGGTGTCTGAAGCAGTTCGTAGATCGGCCTGGCTATCTTTGAAAAGTCCTGTATGTAAGAGCGGTAGTACCCCAGGAATCCTGCTAGTTTCCTCACGTCTCCCACAGTCTTTGGTATCTTGGTAGTCAATGTTTTAACAGCTTCGAGGTCACGTGGGTCTATCTTGACTCCTTCAGCCGACACAATCTTACCCAAGTACCTCACTTCATTCTTAAAAAGTTCACACTTTTCTGGTCTTAATTTTACTCCATGTTGTTGTAGGGCACGCAGCACTTTTCTGAGACACTCAACATGTTCATCAAAAGTTTATGCATAGCACAGTATATCATCCAAATAGGGTAGGCAACAGTCATCTCGTAGGGGGCCAAGCATCTCCTCCATGCTTCGTTGAAATGCCGCCGGGGCATTTGTTAGTCCGAACGGGATACGGACCCATTCGTATAGGCCCCAAGGAGTGGTGAAGGCGGTGAACTGGCGGGACGCCTCCGAAACAAAACCCTGGTGGTATGCCTTTCCCTGGTCTAGAATGCTGAACCAGGCATAACCACCAAGAGTGTCAGTCAGATCTTGTATTCTGGGCAGTGGATGTCGATCCGGAACAGTCTTTTTATTGAGAAGCCTATAATCAATACACAAGCGTAAGCTGCCATCTTTTTTTCTGACACATACAACGGGAGCAGCGTATGGGGACTTGGATTTCACTATCCACCCTTTCAACAGCAGTTCTTGTATGTAGTCCTTTACTTCTTTAAAAAGTGGTTTGGGTATCGACGAGTAGGATCTCTGGACAGGGATGTTATCGGTCAGATTGATCGACATTTGTAGATTTGGCATGCATCCAATCTCTGTACTGTCCTGGGCGAAGGCACCCGATTCTTCACAGAGCAACTTGTGTACCTTTTCTTGTTGTTCATTTGTGAGGTGACTTAAAGAAACAGAAGGTTGCCATGGTACTGAGTCAATAGTAGGAGCGGATGTACTGCTGATGGTTACTGTGGGCTCTGCATCCTCCAGTTCTTCAAGGAAATTTGTGTTTATCACTTTATCAAAACTCTGAATACAACCAAGAGCTGTTTTTCTTTTCAAAGTCACTGTGTGTTTGGTGTTGTTGCCCACAGGAATAAATACACAAGGATACTTTGAGTTACGTACCTCCACGAGACCCTCACCAATGTCCAGCTCCGCAAGATGTATGTTATTTGTATCAGGCTCGAAGAGAAATACAGTCTCTGACAAGTTCAAATTTGGTGAAGCACAACACTTAATCCACGCAACTTGACCTGCTGAAATAGTGGTGTCACATTTACCAGTGCGGAGTCTCTCATTTTGAGTTAAGGGTTTGTCGTTTTGAATGAAGTTCACGAGCAGCTCTGCTTTTTCTGTAGGGATGGACATAGCACTACAGAGTAAGTTGGTGAGTGTTGGACCCAACTGTTCCGGTTGCCTTTGAATCACTTCCTCTAGCACGTTGAAACCTAGTATTGGTCTTTCCAGAGCAAAGCTACTAATGAGGAAGGGCACCGTGATAGACAAGCTGGGATCTATGTTACCCATAAGGTTGACTGTGATAGGAACCCAACCCTCAAATGGAAGACAATCACCATTTACAGCATATAGTTTAAAGTCATCCTCTTCCTCAACAATGTCACTAAGTGGTCTAATATTTGTGTCAGGAAGATATTTGTTTTTCCACTCTTTATCAATAATGCTTACTTGGGCCCCTGTATCTAAAAGTGCACCGACTGCAAATCCGTTAAGATTGCACTGGGTGAGGGCTTTCTTACCAATAAGCTTGGCCAGTCTTTGACTTTTAACATCAGGTAAGTCCGTAGCGACTGCGTTGACATGTTTAGTTTCAGTCTGTTGTTCATTTTCTTTGTCTTTACTTGTGGCAGGTTGGGACATAGAAGAGGATCCGGTCACTGGTTGTCCCTTGACAGAGACCGGTCCCAGTTTCCCTGACGCGATGGTTTCTTGAGGCAGCCCATGGCTCGATGTCCCTCTGCACCACAGTAAAAGCAGTGAGGACAATCAGAACGGTTATCTGCAAGACATGTTGGACAACCTGGTTCAGGTTGTCCAACATGTTGGACAAACTGGTTCAGAACGCAGCAGCCAGACTTCTCACTGGTTTTAACAGAAGGGAGCACATCACCCCTGTTTTAGCGTCCCTCCACTGGCTCCCTGTGCGATTTAGAATTGATTTTAAGATTTTACTGATTACTTTTAAAGCTCGTTTAGGTCTGGCACCAAGCTATATTTATGAACTTTTAACCCCCTACGAGCCCCCCCGCAGCCTTAGATCCTCGGGCAGGTCCTTGCTGACCATTCCAAGGTCGAGGCTCCGGACGAAAGGTGATCGAGCCTTTTCTGTCCGGGCTCCTCGGCTTTGGAACGACCTGCCCGAGGAGATAAGGCTTGCACCATCAGTATCCTCTTTTAAATCTCTTCTTAAAACCCACTTTTATAAAACAGCTTTTAATTGTCAGCTTTAAACTTATAATGTTGTATTTTACTGTCTGTCCTGTCTGTTTTGTGGTCTTGTGTTTCCTCTGTTTGTCTTGTCTTCTTGCATTCATTCTTATTGTTTTAACTTTGTATTATGACTGATGTATTGTTTATTATGCTGTGCAGCACTTTGTAAACATTGTTTTTGAAAAGTGCTTTATAAATAAAGATTTATTATTATTTATAAATAAAGATTTATTATAACCGTGTCGCTTTGGTTTCTGATAGTTCCCTTTACTCTTTGTGTATCGGTTTGTTTGTTCAGTCTGTTGCGATTGTAAATGCTCAACCATACTCGTTAGCTTTTCCACTTTCTCTAACAGCTGTTGGATTGTGTCTGTCTTTTTGTCATCGTTTTGTTTCTTCACGTGCGTGACCTCCTTTGCAGAAGCACCCTGAGCAGCATTTACTTCGGTGGCACTATGAACATTAGCATTTCTTGGTCGTGACACAGGTCCAAGACGACGCTGCCTTTCGCTTTCATCACTCATTACTCTCTTCAGATGCTTAAGGATAGCTTCATCAGTGACAGAAGGTTCAGAAAGTAATGGTTTCAGTTCTCTGCGAATGTCACTGTGTTTGTGTCCTAGACCCTGGTACACTGTGTGAAGAAAAACGTCTTGGACTGTGCTGGTAGAATATTTTACATCAGTGGCAATGTGTTTTGATGCCAACAGGATTTTTTGCTTAAGGCCTATGACTCGATAAAGGAACTGTTGAGGAGTTTCATTGTCATTTTGCTTAGTGCACATCAGTTCTTGAAAAAGTTCAGTATTGTTCTGCTCACCAAGGTGGGAGTGCAAAAAGTCTTTTAATTCGCTTACAGTCAGTTCATCTTTATTCATCAGCATATCTTTGAAAGTACCTGGTTTGATGGCTCTGAGAACAGCTCGGACTATTTCAGTGTCACTAAACTGTTCTTTAAAACCTTCTTCGATCTGGCGACAAATATTGTTATAACTTAGATCTGTCCCTTGATCTCCAATCTGTCCTCCTAGAATTTTGAACTCTCTCCGGTGAAGATAGGAGAGATCCCTTAGTGACAGGACTCTGTCATGAGGGGAGTGCTCACTATTTTGGGCTATGACTTGTGGCTTAGGCTGTCTTTGTACAGATGGCTGAAGTACAGGCTTAGCAGCTGGGGGCATGAATAGGGACATTTTCTCACTTAATTCCCCATAACTACTGAGTAACCCTTGTAACTGTGTGCTATATTGTTTCTCAGAAACAGCGTTTGCAGCGGTGGGTTATTATTGCTATCTTGACTTATTAAAATGTCATTAACCTGTGTGTCTGGGGACTGCGCTCCTTCATCACTTCCACTCATTTTAGCAGACAACTTATGGCTTTGGGTGAGTTGTTCAATTTCATCTTTGAGCTCAAGCAAATGTGACATTCCGGCATCCTCAGACTCTAACAACTGCTTACTGTTCATCACACCACTGATGTACTGGAAACAACTCTCCTCATCCTCTGACGTGAGACGTGACAGGTCCACTCCGGGCATGGGTCCCAGTGACTTGGCGAATAGGATCAGTTCGTCCTCAGGAAGAGTGAGCAGGTCTCTCTTGATGCTCCGCACCAAACTTCTCCTCTCACTATCTGCCATGACTGTCCGCTTTTCCTTTCGTGGCACCCTATAATCTTTGTCCTTGACAGGCGTTGTTCTGGTACTTGGCAGTCTTTAATCTTTACTCATCACCGCTGGCACGTGAGTGTCGAATCTTCATTTGTTGGCACCACCTGGACTGGTCCCTCTGGTTACTGCAGGACTCATCAGGGTTTACCAATACCTTCCCCGTACGGGCCACCAAGAAACTGTTGCAGGTATCGGCCGGTACAATATCTGCTGACAGTTTATTATTTTTTTATTTGGGGAAGGATTGGGATTGAAATTCGCTCCAGGCTCTCTGCTTGCCGACTGACTTACTTGTTTTATTCACACAATATAATACAATACTCATTTAAGTATACATATTCAATACAACTCACATTGAATATTCATTTTCACAATATTCACTTATCACATTCAAATCCAGATCTGATAATAAGCACAGGAATATAGTTAATTGTATAACAGATATCCTTTAACACATTAGATTTATTCTAATACACATGCCAACTTGACATTGTCGGAGCTGCTTCGCTTAGACTTCACTTTTTATAATATTTCTAATCAATAACATAGTGGTTACTTCAAATACTTAACCAGGATAATAAAGAGAACACAAACTGACGGTGAGCCCATCTCTCAATGTAAAATGTAACAGCCCAAAGCTAATGGCTAAAAGCTAACGGCTAACGCACAACCGTTTGCCTAAAACTATACTTTTTCAGTAAAAACGAATACATTAAACACCTTTTGTGTGGCAGTAACGCTCTTGTGTGATAGTACAAACTCGCAAATATAATGCTTGGGTGTTACAGTACCAACCTGAAATTAAAAGAAAAGAGACAGTCACACTCAACTTCGCTCCAGGCTCTCTGCTTGCCGACTGACGCGAAGCAGGAGCGGGCGCCTTAAAACTGTCTCCTTACCAGCACTGCCCTCTAGTGGTAGGCGTCAATACTATCTATTTTAAATTTATTTAATTATACGGAATAATGTGACCACACATAGTGGGCGTCACAATAGCAAAACTTATTTACACACATACAGCATATATATTTCAAAATTTATATTTAAATGTATTTTCTCGACGTTTTGATGTGTACCGCAAAGAATTATGGGCAATATCCTTCGCCAGAGGGCGCATAGAGGCTACGGCGAAGTGTGGATCAGGGGCGCAAAGGGGGCGGGGCCAAAGACCTCCCCGGAGAATTGGGACACCCTACGCACTCGCACCCTTTATCGGGAACGCGCAAATGAGGGGCGCGAGGGTGGAAGTGCGAGTATTGGGACGGGGCCAAGGACTGCTTTCCAAACTGTGGGGCGTGTACCACTGGTAGTCGTTGAACTGAAATTCCTCTGCAGTTCAACGTCTATTGATATAATGTGCTGCAGTTTATTCCACTGTTGTTGGGATCACCTAATTAGATGTAGTTCTTGGGATGCCGTATTTATATGTTGGTACATGGAAGCTTAGAATAGTTTTGAGAACCGAGATCCATGGACCCAATGCTGAGAAGAAATACGTATACGGGCGGCACGTGAGAACGTGAAATAGACTGATCAGCGGATCAGAACCACTTTACAAGCCCAAAATCTGCGATTGTGGAAATGATAAACTGAAAAAATGTCATGGGACCAAAAGGTAGGAGACCCACAATACGTAATAGATGGAAAACACTGAATCTTGGTCGCCGTGTTGGCTTCCTACATTACAGCCAGTGTGTTGCTTTTACACATTTCCACATCCTTATGCAAAAGTGTTCAGGATTTTTTGTTTTGTTTTTTTTTTTCACCGATTAACAGCTGAAAAAAATGATGTCATTTTCAATACATTTCTTGCATTTTTTCCCCCACTCCCATTTGGAGAGAGGGCAAGCACGATTTTCGACTCACGGCAACTTCCGGTGACTCGCGTGACTCAGGCGCTCTGAGTCGCGGCTCAGCAGTCAGGGGTCGTGGCTCACGGTTATCAATTTCGCTTTTTAGGGGTATCTGTGGATTATTAATGACACATTGTGGATCTGGAGGCATATATTTACAAGTAATCAGCATGTTACACACTCTTCATCATCTGGTATGTGTTTATAGCTCTCCATGTTCGTTAACCACTGACTCAGGAGCTGTGAGTCGCGGCTCACGGTTAAAAATACCACAAATCTTTGCTTTTTAGGGGTTTCTGGGAATTTCTAATGAGACAATATGGATCAGGAGGCATAGTTTACATGTAATCAGTATATTACACACTCTTCATCAGACCGCGGTAAAGTGGCCCGCATCTTTCAGCTCTATGAACAAGCGGCCCGCATCGGGGAAAATATGGTGCGCGTTTCGTTGAGAACTTACGGTAACAGCGGAACATCCTTTCGGAGTCACCCATTTTTATCGAACAGAAAGCGCGCTGGGGTCTGGGAGACACGTTTTTGTGATTAAAACCTTATAGGGATGACACATAGCACCAGCCCCCTACGATTCCTCCTGCAGATTGTGAGTCCTCAGGAGGATAGCCACTCTATTGTTTACATATATAAAGTACACAATTTGGTCCGCTAGTGCAATTTTCAAGTATTGTAACTATTTACTGGAATAAGGTGTGCGACTAATTTCACTTGACTCATGACCTTATTATTGCCCTCTACCACTGTACCAAAGACCAGAAATTTTTACTGTAGAAATATTGAGTTAACGTAGCCATTTTTGTCCAAAATAGCCTAAAAATTGTCAAAACATGTCACTTTTGATCTACGGTAACTTTTTACTATAAAAAGGTGTGCGACTAATTTCACTGGATTCATGACCTCATGATTGCCCTCTACCACTGTATCAAAGACCAGAAACTTTTACTGTAGAAATATTGAGAAATATGGAGTTAAAGTAGCCATTTTTGTCCAAAATAGCCTAAAAATGGTCAAAACATGTCACTTTTGATCTACGGTAACTTTTTACTATAAAAAGGTGTGCGACTAATTTCACTGAATTCATGACCTCATGATTGCCCTCTACCATTGTACAAAAAACCACAAACTTTTACTGTAGAAATATTGATTTAAAGTAGCCATTTTGGTCCAAAATAGCCTAAAAATGGTCAAAACTGGATTCATGACCTCATGATTGCCCTCTACCACTGTACCAAAGACCAGAAACTTTTACTGTAGAAATACTGATTTAAAATAGCCATTTTGGTCCAAAATACCTCCAAAATAGTCAAAACATGTAACTTTTGATCTACTGTAACTTCTGTGTGCGACAAATTTCACTGGATTCATGACTTCATTATTGTCCTCTACCAGAGCTGTATTTGCATTGCCGGCAGGTGCAGGTTGCCCTTTTTCACCGCTTCTGTTTACTGTCATAATGGACAGAATTTGTAGGTGCAGCCAGGGGCCGGAGGGGGTCCGGTTCGGGGACCACAGGATTTCATCTCTGCTGTTTGCCGACGATGTTGTCTTGTTGGCTCCAAGGAACCAGGACCTGCAACATGCACTGTGACGGTTGCAGCCGAGTGTGAAGCGGCTGGGATGAGAATCAGCACCTCCAAATCCGAGGCCATGATGCCTGACCGGAAAAAGGTGCCTTGCCCTCTCGAGTAATGAGTAATGATTAATGAGTAATGATTATTTATATAGCGCATTTATATATATATATAAAAAAAAATTATATAGCGGAAAAAAAAGCATCTGCGCATGCGTCAGCCGGCGCAAGCTCCATTCATTTGAACGAGAGACCTAAAAAATTCACAGCGAGTAAAGTAGAGTGGTCCAAAAAAATTCACCCCCCTCAGCATTGACACACATGTGGAACGGAGCTTTAGGCCAAGGGCCAACTTTTGGACCATCATTTTCGAGAGGTCTGCCAATGCTATACGTTAGCATTGGCTAATTCTTATTCCGGGTCCACCCCCATCGGCCCGGGGCAAGCATGTCAGCGCATCATTTTGGCCACTTTCGAGCCGGAACCCGCCCCCACTGATCAGCCCCCAATCTTCACTATCCATTAATACCTATTGAGCATTTTTTTAGTGGTAGGGGAAACCGGAGCACCCGGAGGAAACCTATGCAGACACGGGGAGAACATGCAAACTCCACTCAGTAAGGCACTGTTCCGACTGGGATTCGAACCCAGGACCTTCTTGCTGAGGAGCGAGAGTGCTATCCACTCAGCCACCGTGCCGCCAAAGTGGAGAGGTCCTTCCTCACGTGGAGGAGTTCAAGTATCTCGGGGTCTTGTTCACGAGTGACGGAAGGATGGAGCGTGAGATTGACAGGAGGATTTGTGCAGCGTGCGCAGTGATGCGGCCACTTTCGATTTACCGGTCAATTCTTGTTCCCTCCATCACCTCTGGTCATGAGCTTTGGATAATGACCGAAAGAACGAGATTGTAGATACAAGACATTACGCGCGTCACTTGAAGCTTTTGACACGCGTAATGCTTGCGTCTCTTTTGTCGTAAAAAAGTCCCTTAACGCCGAAGTTGAGAAAAGCTTTTGGAGCTTGACGCCGTGCTTCAACCAATCTGGAGACGAGGAGCAGCAGCAGGGCTGTCATGTAGCTGCTACTGCTTTTTCATTGTCATTATTGTTATTTGTATATTATTTGTATGAATAGTAACGTTCTTAAAAAGTAAGTAACACAATCAATGTACATATGCTGTGAAGTTAAAGTAATTTATTTAGTATAAGAACAAGCTAAAGCTGGCTCAGACACAGCAGACTGAAAGACAGGCGCTCCTCCGCGGGAATCAGTGCGAGCTCCAGGCGGGAGCGAGAGAAGCTCCTCCCACCCGGCGTCAGGAGCTTCAAGCACCAAGGGGCGTTCACACCGGACCCAGCGTCAAATATTGCGCGTCAAAAGCGTTTTGAAGCCATTGGTCTGAAAGCACCTTTAGAGATAGGTTGAGGAGCTCAGTCACACGGAAGGAGCTCGGAGCAGAGCCTCCGCTTGTCGACTTGTCGAGCCTCCGCTTGTCGACAAAAGGGGCCGTAGCCCCTTTTGTGTATTTT